TAGGGCATTCGGCTTGAACCCAGCCGACATGGGTTTGAATTCCTGCTTGCCTGGAACTTCACTGGATGTTGATCTTGGCACCAACTTTATCTCACCCTAGCCTACCTCAAAGGCTTGTCATGTGCATAACATGTGGTTGTGTCCATATGAGCAACCCTGAGATTCATGGAGAATAATCTGAATGAATCCCAGGTCTCCAACTGATTTACCATTTTCATGGCTAAGAAGGGGGGAAAAGTTACTTCAGTACCCAAAAGATAGCTGGGAACTTTTGTCACCTTTGCATATATCTGCTTCAAACTAGAAAACCAAAATAACTGGAAGAGGCACAGCAACCAGGCCTAAACTGCACTCCAAACAAAAGGGATCACAGATATCCACAGGAAAAACAACACACAAGCAAACCCTGTGATATGAACATTTATAAAATTTACATTGCTTTTCTGAAACTTTACAAAATTGCAACAATTTGTCCAACATTCTCACATACAATATTGTAAAAAAATCCACATAGTCCAACATAATGAGTACCCGGTTGTGAACTCATTTCAACTGTACAGTCTTCCTCAGATGTAATCCTATATTTAAAGGAGCTGTCAGTTTCTTAATCCAGCTCAGTATTGTAAATTCTTAATTTCCTTCATAATATCCTGGAATAAACCATAATCAATAAAAATCCACATGAAGCTGCACGGAAAATAGTTATTTAACTGATAGGAAACTTACTTCTGGTTCCATAATAAGTGTTTATTTTGGGAGCAAGCCAATCCTCTGTAGGTACAAAAAAGCCTCCTGGATTTTACTGGCTATGCTCTCCATCAACACTAACTATTTATTTAGATAGTAGCAATCCAGCCCTTATTTTATCTGGCGAGAGCCTTCATTATTCTGGCTGGCAAATGCTCTATTGATTTATTGATTATGGTTTATTCCAGGATATTATGAAGGAAATTAAGAATTTACAATACTGAGCTGGATTAAGAAGCTGACACCTCCTTTAAATATAGGATTACATCTGAGGAAGACTGTAAAGTTGAAATGAGTTCACAACCGGGTACTCATTATGTTGGACTATGTGGACTTTTTTTACAATATTGTATAAGTGAGAATGTTGGACAAATTGTTGCAATCTTGTAAAGTTTTAGAAAAGCAATGTAAATCTTATAAATGTTGTTCATATCACAGGGTTTGCTTGTGTGTTGTTTTTCCTGAACTGCAGTCCAGCAATCCTTGGTCGTCATAAATCTGGCCACACACCCACAACACATGGTGAACAAATCCTCCAGCCAGTGTTCCTGCACGTGAGCGGCTGCTCTTTAGCACAGGAAGCTCTGCTCAGCAGCAGTCTGGAGCTGCACCGGTTCTTGCCTTGCCCATTTTAAGATTACAGCAGTTCTATTCTGCTCAGGATGTGAACTGCTCTGCTCAGTAGGGGGGGGGAATAGAGGGACCATTGCCTCCAAGATGATGTATGCATGATATTTGTGGTACGGGCTGCAGCTCATTGGTAGAGCATCTACTAGGTGTGCAGAGGATCACAGGTTTCATACCTAGCATCTCCAGCTAATAAACAATTGGCTAGTAGATGATGTGAAAGACCTCTGCTTGAAACTCGAGAGAAGCACTGCCAAGGGCCTGATTCAGTATACGGCAACTTCATGTGTTTGTCTCCCCCCCCCCCCCCCCCCATGATGGAACTAATCCACATGTATCATTCAAACCATATGTACTGTGAAGGAATACATGAATTTTCTTGCTTATTACGGTATACACTTTTATCTCCCAACACACCCTCCTGAAACAGCCTGTAAGCCCTCAGTCTTACTCTACAGTAATACATTCCTACAGTATTTCAAAGTCCCACTACTCCACCAAGTGGCTCAGCAGTTCATTGCAACCTCATGAACGTCCACAGGAATAGCAGCACTGTCATTAATCCCGGGCAATCATTTATAGTAAAATCCCTCTGCATCATTTTCCGTCTCTGAACTCTAACATAAAGAAACCTAAGGATTTTTGTATTGTACACAAGATGCTCAAAGAAACACAGCATCAAATCCTCTGGCCCCACTGCTTGAAAAGGGAGACAGGGGGTGCCTGGCTCAGTGACACAATTTACATTCATGGGTCCCCAACGTTCAGTGCCTGACATCTCCACTAAAGGAGATATGAGAGGCACTGTGGCGTAGGGGTTAGAGACTTGATCTAGGATCTGGTAGACCCAGGTAGGACTCCCCAGTCTGCCATGGAATCTTGCTGGGTGACTTTTGGCTACTCACACACTCTCAGCCTAACCTATTTCAAAGGGATGTTGTTGCAAGGATAAAATGGAGGAAAGAAGAAAGATGTAGAACACTTTAGTTCCCATTTGGGGACAAAGGCAGGGGTAAATGAAATAAGTAAATACATTAAATAGATCTTGGGTAACAGGCTTCTATCCAGCTTTCCCCAAGGACATCTTTTTTGCCCCTGTAAAAATGAGTAGTACCACAAAGGGGCCAGATTGCAGGTGATGAAGAGCCATATCTGGCTCAGTGCTCTCGCCTTTTGCTTACCCATGAGAAGTCAGCATGTGTTCTTTTTCAGGTCCCCTTTTGCAGACAGGAGAAGATGATAGGTTCCACCAGTATCCGTGGAAAATATCAGATCATTTAAACTTTTGTTTTATTAAAGCCTTTTTGGTATTTTTAAGTGGGCTGCTCATTGCCTGCTGAGGAGCCTTCTTTTGAAAGGTAATCTATATAGATCAATAAAAGAATCGAGGCCTTGCTGCTGTATAGCACCAGGGGAATTTGGGGGGGGGGGAGGCTGGAGGCTTCGTACCTCCTGGCACAACTCTGTGCAGACAAATAAGCGCACACACAAAAAAGAGAACTACTTCAGTGGAATATTATTCTAAGCCACCTTGAACCAAGAGGAAAGGCAGGATGTAAATGTTTTAATTAAAAAAAAATACATTTGTTTTCCCACAAAGTGACCTAATAAAAGGAGAGGTATAGACAATAGGAACAGGCTACAGGGAACCATAACCAGAGTTGTGCTTTTACTATCCCCCCCTCCCCCAGTGTACCCTCAACCCAAATTCGGAGCTCATGAAAGCTGAATACTGCAGCCACTGTAAACAGAGTTGATAACTGCGGAGTTTCTCACTTTGCATAATCTGTTTTTGCTAATCTTTAGGGAAGGGCAACAAGCTCTGCACTAAAGCCCCACCTTTGAAATCTGATTCAGTCATCACTCCAACTTTTGTTCAAGCGTATCTTCACAGGCATGAAGACTGACAACTTGCGTGTTCAGAAAACATGTCAATGCAAATCCTCCCGGAAGCTGAATTTTGTACTAAGTGCCCTCTTCCACACTTTCCCTGGGCTTCCACCAATTAAAAAAAAAATCACACACAGACACCAAGGAATATGCAGTGAGGTGGCTGCCTCAAGAGGATGGAGTAACAACAGAAGCGAAGCAAACAGGGATACTAAATGGATCCCCGCTATGCTCTTAGGAAGATGGGTTAGACTATGATTGCCAACCCCCAGGAGGGGCCTGCAGATCTCCTGGTATTACAGTTGATCTCCAGACAATAGGGATCAGGTCAGTTCCCCTGGGGAAGATGGCTGCTTTGGAGGGTGCACTCTGTACCCTGATGACATCTCTCTCTTCCCCAAACCCAGCCCTCCTCAGTCTCCACCCCCAAAATCTCCAGGTATTTCCCAACCCAGGGCCGGCAACCAAGCCCGTAGCCACAGAGGGGCATCTGGGGGCAGAGCCCCCCACCCACGAGTCCTGCCCCACCACCTGATGATGCCAGACACCCCCACCCCCAGTGCACCTATCCCCACAGCCCTGAGGCTGTTGAACCGCTAAAAAAATTCTGGTCAGTTTCATTCCCCACCCATCAGCAGTTGGGTTTAACAGCTGAAAGGAGGGGGTAAAACTGATCAAAAGTGGTGGGTCAGCCTCCCGACTGCTGCCTAGAGCTGGGGAAGGAAAGGAAAGCTGCCCTGCTGCTTTTGGTCAGTTTCACTCCTCTCCCCATAGCTGTTAAGCCTTAACAGCTGTTCCTTCCAGAATGAAACTGACCAGAAATGGCAGGGCAACTTCCCTTTCCCAACCTCCCTGCTGCTGGGGGGGGGGGGGGCTGGGAAAGGAAAGAGAGAGAAGGCATCGTGGTGGTGGTGGGGAAGCCGATCTCTCTCTCCTGGGGTTTCTGATCTCCAGGGGGCGCCTGGAGGGCCCCATCATATCTCCCTGAAGTCCCTCCTCTCCCCACCCCAAGCCCCATGCTCCTTAGGCTCCAACCCCATGCTCCTCAGGCTCCACTCCCAAAATCTCCAGTTATGTATTATTTCTAAGTACAAGCATAATAGGTGCCCCAAAAAACAAAAAATTCTGGCTACAGGCCTGCTTTGATGAAGCCTGTACCAAGATTAATTAGCTTGCTCATCTTGACCAGGCCACTAGAGACAGACAAGCTCTTAGAAACAAGTGGACAGTTATGAGTTACCATACACTTGTGGAACAGCGGACTACACATTTCTAAAATAAAGATGCATTAAAATCCTACAGATTGCTTGAAGACTATGCTTTCCAAGTAGCTTACTCAGGGTTCACAATGCATCATGCAAATATGGTTTGAGCCTCATCCCCCCCCCCAGTCATTAGAAATACATGCATTAAGCCATGTATAAAGCTGCAATTGGGTTTCACTCCCAACATATAGCTTGCTTAAGCAAAACTGGGGCTTTTGCTGCAAAGCTTAATTGTTCACAAGTAAGGATGCAATTTGAACCTGGGAATGTTCTTTGAGCAACAGCATGAGGGGGAAATGAGCTGCCGCTAGCACCAAAGAAGACCGTTTGCCTGCTCCTTGCACTACCCGACCAGACAATCCCTTTCATCTTGTTTGTTTCGCTTTGCAGAACTATGGGATTCTCTGCTCCTTATTTTGAGATTCACACACACGTCTCGGCTTTTACACTACAGAAAAAGAGTGTCTGTTTTTATTCATGAATGGTTTGTAAACAGTGAAAAAGAAAACTAGAGTACATATCAATAGCCCCAATGGCTGGCTGCCTGGTTCAATACAGCACAAGAAGGAATCTGGGCCCCAAGAGATGTCATGAGGCTTGCGCAACAGCCTGTTGGCTATCACTTCTATTGACTTCTTCAGCTCCCCGGGCTGCCCTTCGGCCATCAACACGACACATTAGCAAATTTACAGAGAACATCCACATGGCAGAGAGCCCTTGGACTTCAGTACTGGAAGCCCCCCCCCCCCAATGTAGGCAGTACTCCGATTCATTTTGGTCTAGCCAATGTCAAGTTGCAATGGAAAGAGAAGGGGGCTGGTGGCTTCTCCTTCACAACTCCTCTCCCAACACTGCGGTCAGTCTACGTTGCCCTGCCTGCAATCACAACATCAACGCCGGTGGCTACGAAGCCTGAGCATTTCCTAATGAGCACAAGAGGCACAGCAGGCACAAGACAAGAACATGCCTTCTGGATGGGGGAGCTGAGGCTCAGAATATACACAATCTTCATACCTATGGCTGCTGTTGCTGTTTCGACTGAATAGGGGAGGCATAGCTTAGCCTTTGATTTAGCTGTTTTCCTGCTCAGCTTCTCTCACTCTCAGCTGCTTTTTGCCCTGCAGAAGATAGGGGAGTTTTTCCCTATGGGGCAAAAGGCAATGAGGAGGAGGGAGCTTGAGCAGGGGAAAAAAAGCTGGAGGCAAAGGGGTTAACCAGCCCCTTCCTCCCCCACAGGCTGCAGTTGATCTGGGCTTAAGCAAAAATTGCCGGGAACCAGAGTTACACATAAACTAGGCCCAAAGGCCAACCTATACATACTGGTCATGGAGCCATGTCTTTAAACACAGCTGTAACCAACATCATCAGGAAAAGAGGCTGGGTGGAGGGGAAGAGGAATGGTGCACGCTTTCAATAGGCTTACCCCTGAGGTTGACCCCCCCACACACACATAACGTGAGATGGAGAAGGATTGTCTTCCACTGTATGTGCTGTATGGGCCTAAGCCTACAGCACTCAGCAAGATGTACTCCCTGGTAAACATGCTTTGGAATAAGCTGTAAAAGGACTGTTGAAACATTTTTGCCTAAGCGTGAAGTTGATCAAAAGCACCTAACATTTTATACAAGAAGTAACACGGCACAAAGCTGCTCCTTCAGTGAATGGTTCATCACACTGGAAGTCAGTGGATGCAGTGCGGGAACAGAGAATCACAGTAATCACGGCTGTGCCTGCTCAAGGGCCGCATCGGCCCCTCCTTGAAATATCTTGCATAGAGTCCAATGGCAGAGGCAGACAGCAGCGCTGAACAACCACTGTTCCTGCTGCAGTCCAATGTGCAATTGAAAAAAGGCAGGGCAGGTCATCACAATTCTCAAGGAAGCCAAGCCAGCTGGCCTCGATTCTGCTAGTGATCTTGGCGAGTCACCATCCGAACCATCTTCAGTGCCATATCACCTTGGTCAGCAGGTACCTGATAGAGGAAAAAAGCACACAATTTTCCATCAGTTTGAGTGATGCTCCCGGCTGGTTTCATATTCCACTTAGGTGTTTTGCCTGCTATCAACATCCTAGGGGCATCTTTCATCCCAGGACCTTTGCCATTTAGAGACTATAAGCCAGAAAAATGTAAGAAATCTCCATATGGAATGAAAAAAATAAATAAATTCAGAAAACCAAGGCCTGCTAATCTCAAGCACAAGACAGGCACAGTTGAAGCACTTTGACTGAAGCATGCCCTGGCACAGTCATCAAGGTCAAACAAGAAATCTGTTCATTCCAGGCTGCCATCTTGAATGCTAATAGCGGTATCTATCCCACCCTCTCACTTCCTTGTTACAAAGGGAACAGCCTCCAGTATCCATAAGCCTGGCCTTCTACTGTTCTCTCTCTGAACACATAAGAGACACCGTAACACTGGAAAGACTCCATTTTAAGAACCCAGTTAGGAGAACGATTTCTTTTCACTGACTCTTTGTTCCTACACGCTTAGTCTGCAACAAGAGCATTTAATTTAAGCAAGGAAAGCATGCCGGCCTGCATTAATATTATATTGTTCCTTCCAGGCTATTCAGTATCTTCCGGTACAAACAATCTCTCCTGACCATTGCTTCTTCCCTGATGGGACATTTGGCTTCTGAGAGACTGAGACCCCAGGCTTCTTCTGTATGTGCCTCCCTGAATGTATTTATTATATTCAATTTTTAGACCACCCATTCCCTGCAACAGGGCTCAGTGCAGTGTACAGCAACACATTAAAACAAACATATCATATGAGTCCAAAACATTTAAAGTTATGATAACATTCAAATCATTCAATTTAGACAGATGGCGGTAAACATTTCCAAGAGTGCTACCACCTTGGGGTGGGGGAGTGGGACTGCCAGCCAGATGGACACCATCACTGATCTTAGCCTGGCGGAACATCTCTGCCTTACGGCCCCTGCGGAACTGCATCTGGGCACAGATGTTACTCAGCAAAGAGTTCCACCAGGTTGAAGTAGTACATCAAGTCCCAACACCCTGGCTATTCCAGTTGGACTTCTGACAATCAATGAAAGGCAAACGGATGGTGAAATATTCTTTGTGAATTGCTGAAGCGTGTGCAGGTGTGATGCTCTACTTTGTTTTATTATGGGAAGAGTCTTAGTTTTAATTGTTCACAAACTGAAGTTTGTTTTTAATGTACAGCATGAGCCATCTGGCTTCCTTTTGAGCACTGGGCAATAAAGATTTCAATTAGGATACAGTCCAGGGGTCCCCAATGTGGCACTGCTGACATCTTTGCAGGTGCCCACCTAGAGTTATTAGAGAGAAGGTGGGAGCAGATAGGGCTTTTGCCCAGCGTGGCTTCTGACTGGCTGTGCAGACTTTTAAAAAATCTTGCTTTGGCAGCAGCTGCCACCACAGCACAGAGATCTGCACTGTGTGACCAAAGGTAAGCAGCCTGTTTGCAACATGTTTTAAAACAGTATGTTCATTTTAAAAGGCCTTGCTGATGCTGATGCTGAAGAGTTACTATTAGAGTTACAGAGAACCCTGACAGTGTGCAGATGGCTCTGTCTCCTGCGGCAGCCATTTTATTTATTTATTAGATTTTTTTAAGCTGCTGCTTGCTCAAAGGGTCTTGCAGCAACTTACAACATTAAAACCACATAAATAAAAATAACAGAAAAGCAGACAATAAATACAAAATATGAATATTAAAGTGTTAAACTATTAAAATATGTGATTAACATCATAACATTAACAAGAACAACCCAGACATGTGGATTACACTGTAAAGGTCAGCCTAAACACAATTTGGCCTTGCATGCCCTGCAGAAACTAAACAAGTCCAGTAAAGCATGGGTGTCATCAGAGAGTGCATTCCACAGAGCAGGGGCCACAGCTGAGAAGGCCCTTCTCCTGGTGACAGCTAACTAAGCTATTCTGGGGCCCGGCACCTGCAAGAGTCCCCTAGAGGATGACTGAAGGAAGTGTGGGGAGGGGTTGTAACAGGAGAGGCGGTCCTATAGATATGAGGGCCCCAGACCATTAAAGGCTTTAATGGTTAACACCAACATCTTGAATTGGATCCTGAGATTAATAGGTAGCCAGCGCAGCTGCCGCAAAATTGGAGTAATACGAGCTGACTGTGATGTTCTGGTCAGCAACCTGGTCTACAGTCTCTGAGGTGTTTTCAAGGGTAGCCTTACATAGAGCGAATTACAGTAGTCCAAATCTGGAGGTCACCGTTGCATGGATCAATGTGGCAAGGTCCAACCCAGACAAGCTTTGTGGTTGTGCCCACCACCCCGTGTCAAAATTCCAAAAAGTGCCTTCAGGCTCAAAAAGGTTGGGGACCTCTGAAACAGACTTACCATGTGCCCGGCCTTTAGAATCCAGTAGAAGGCTAAGTTATCATAGGACTTGACAAAAGCCGCCGTCTCTTCAGTTTTGGAGCATGCATATAAAGCTTGCCATTTTTGGTCACTGAACTGCTTCAGCTTGGGCCATTTCAGCTTGCGGACCCATGCTTCTTGGCCTGAACATAAAAACCAAGAGAAAGGGCTGATCTTAGCAAGATGGCTGACAGCAAGGAGACTGGTGCCTTGTTTTCAGAGAATTCAAGTTGGAATCAGAGCCAGAAGGTTTGCAGTTCAACCAAACTGAGCCTCCCCTGCCTTCCAAAAAGAAAAATTAATAATCACCACAAATAAGGTGGGTTTTCCATCCCAGAGGGATAACCCTTCCAAGATTGGGTAACATTCTGAACTTACATTTTAATTCAAAATTTGAGGAAAGAAAATCCCCTTTTGGTTTTGTCATCTAAGAAAACCAGTGATCCAGTGACATTGGCTTGACCTACATGTGCAGAGGAATAAGGTGATAGAATCCTTAGGGTGGACTTCAGACTGTTTGGAACAACAGCGCAGTGATTAAAAACATGCACACATATACAATCCTCCCTGAAAGTCTGGCATACCGGGAAAAGAGGGGTTTTTTTTTTAGCTCAGTTCACCCCATTGTGTTTGTTTTCCTTTTGTTCTGAGCTATTTATGCAGGAGAGTATTCTGAAAGCAGGATTCCCACCTGCAATGATGCTGTCCCCTCTGCTCCTTTATTTGCTGCTTGGCAGACAAGACCATTTACAGTAGCAGTCAGATGTCAAATACCTCTGCAAGTCACCTACAAAAACAGCAGCTGCTACTGCCAAGTGTCAAATGCAGTCAGCTATGAGTCACCTAGAGACTCAGAGGGCTCCTGTAGAAGAAGCACTAAATATGCTGCGAGCCAGCTATCCAGCATTTCCTGATATGGCCTGTCAACCTAATTTCAGAGTTTGGCATGAACTGGGGATTTTGTCAAATGTCACTCATCAAATATTCAAGGAGAAGGGGGGGGGGGGTTGAATTCTTCTTGAATCCAGAAAGCTGGCCAAGCAACAGGCTCCAGATTCATCACAGTTAAGTGGGACAGAGTTGTCACTGCAACGACTGATTTAGTGGTCAATTACCCCAAACTTTTAGATATTTTTTTTTTTAAAAAATGGTAAAAGTAGGTGTTCTGGCCAACAGGCATTACAAGCATGAAAGTAACATTATTTTTCTAGAGGCATTCAAACCTCCCACAGAAGTACAGCTCAATTCTAAGTGCCAAGAAAAACCAGAGCCAGGTGGGTATGGGGGGGAAAAACACAGATATCCTATTGTGAGACTAATAAACGGCACTGCTCCCCCCTGCCCCTTTATCATGCATTTATTTCTGTGTTATTCAGTCAAAGAAAAAGCTTTGTATCAGAGGCACCGGAAGATCCAAGAGAGATACTGACTCTGGACAGAATACCAGGTTATTGTGTGAAACTCAGAAGATGAAAAAGACAAGACGGAGTGAAGTCATTCCAACTGGCAACAGAATGAGACATCCCAAAGATATTAAAAGGTAGGCTGTAATTGCCCAAGGACTCTTATTACATAATTAGTGAGCCATTTAAAGGCAGGAGCAAGAATCTCAAAGCAACTGATGTGCATTGATGGACTGAATAGAGAGAAAGCGTGTAAATTTATGGCGCAGTTTCTCATCTCCACCCTGCCTTTTCTAATAATTGTTAGTATCGCCCATGGAGTCACCTTTGAAATTATTTTTTTAATTGGTTATGCATTCACCTCTCCAGCTGCCATTTATTTGCATCTTAAGCACACCCAGTAGCCTCATTCCAAGTCAGACTTCCACAAAATATCACCTTAGGGTTGATGAATGCAGATATGGGCATTTGAATATAAGCTCATCTTATGTGATACACATAAGTATGAGTTTCAGTCAGAGATAAGATGACCCAGCGGTAACCTTAAACACTATGCAGCCATTCCACCAGTACAATGTGTTTTTCAGAACACCAAGCCAATCTATGCCCTCAGAACATGACTAGAGTACAAGCAAAATGGCTCCTGAACCCAGATTAGCAGTGTCTGTTATGAACATCAGCAAACTGAATAAACTGTTTGAATGGCTTCTCAATATTGTGTAAGGTATGTGAAATTCTGAGTTGACTTAAGAACATAAGAGACGCCAATGTTGGATCAGGCCAAAGGCCCCTCCAGTCCAACACTCTGTCACACAGTGGCCAAAAATACCAGGTGCCATCAGGAGGTCCACCAGTGGGGCCAGGACATTAAAAGCCCTCCCAATGTTGACCCCCCCCCCAAGCACCAAGAAGACAGAGCATCACTTATGTGATAACCTAGGGTGTTCATGCCAAACTAGGAAGACTTATCCTAGGGTGATGCAATTGCAAGGAGAGGAAGACAGGAATCAGGATTTTAGTGTTTCAGACTACAGATATCAGTCAGAAAACAAGGTAAATCCTCAGAACAGAGCAGAATAAAAACGTGTGTGTTTACGAAGTGAGTCCCAAGATTGGCACTCATCTATTGGCCAGGGAATAGCACATTCTTAAGAACAAAAAAGCCTACACATCTCAGTAAAAATAACTGATGGGTGCTGCCAAGGAAATGAGAACTTTTTGGGATAAATACCTTTCATAGCCCTTGACTGCCCTCTTTGCTACTATAAGCTAAGCTCACTAGCACACATCGGCCTTCCGTATACAAAATATAGCCAGAAATAATTGAGATTTCGTCTTCTACAGCCTCTGAGCCCATCTTTCTCCTCAATTTCCCTGTTTTCTGCTTACCTCTGCCCACATTTGCCCCTCAAGACTCACTCACTCAGTTCACTGCCTACTCTGCTCATTTATTCTGACTGTCCTCCTTTGGGCTTCTAGTCTCTTTGCTTCCTTATTCATTTGACCTCAGGTCTTGGGTAATCCTGGCAGACTGCTAACTCTTGCTTCTCCTCACGGAAACCGGAGTGTGAATATTCTGTTGCTCACCATACTGTCTTCCTGAGTCACTGGAATTTCCCCTGACCACTGGAATGTTTGTGAACATTCTGTGCCATCACACGTGCTCTGCCAAATTCACTGCCACATATTCAATCCAGTATAGATAAGGTGCTTTTAATTCACCATATTTGCAAGGAATAATAAGTCTGTGGGGTGCAGGATGAGAACAGGTGCCGAGCACACACTGAAGGTATTATTTTGACAAATGGTCTTTGACCGTAACTAAACATCATTCATTCACACTGAAGGATTGTGAGATGCATTGGTGCAAACAGCCATCGTTTAAACCATTTATCCAACTGAGTTGACACAGCTAGCATTAAAGAATATTAAACTGACCAAATCAGCTATGGTACAGTAGTAGTACTCCGGGGAAATTTTTATTCTCTCCTTGTACCCACATGCATTGTGGTTAGTGTTGAAACTAGGATGCTGCAATGGCAGCTTGGTGGGTGACGGTGGGCCAGTCACACACTCTCAGCCTAACCCACCTCCCAGGGTTCTTGTGAGGATAAAATGGAGGAGAGGAGAATGAAATAAGCCACTTTGGGATCCCATTAGGGAGAAAGGTGGGATATAAAGTGAATAAACTTACATACAAGTTCATGGCAAAGGCGGGTACATGTAAAGAAAGCCAGATAATTATTAATAGGAAGAGACAGTGTCACCATTTAGGGACCCACAGAACTGATTTCAAAAGAGCCATGCAAGAGTGTCATTTGTCCCCTTCCTCTGCTATCCTGCCCTCAGCAGGAACCATCCTTACCTATGGTGGAAACAATGAGATCCAGCTGTCCATTATAAACAGTAACATTGACATTGGCTTCCAGCAGGTCATCTACGATGTCTATTGCATGTTTCATAAAGTCTTCAGCCATGTGTGTGAAAACGTCTTGTGCCTGGCCTGGAGGTTTAGAGCAACAAGAGGGGGGGGGGGAGAAGGAGTCAGGACAGCAGAAAGGACAATGGAGACTTTATAACCATCAGGAGGACTCACAGATCACTGCTTGAGTGATCAGCCAAAGCAACAGGGCACATCTGGTAATCCGAAAAAGAAACCTGAACAGCAAAATGACATCCCCATTTGCTTTCTTTTGAGAGCACGAATGGTAAACATTTAAGAAGACTCGTTGCCTCCCATTTTTCTGCATAAGAAATGCATGGCATTTCAGGTCCAATGCTGAATTTGGAGGAGGAATCCAGATTTTGGAAGAAAGAAAGAAAAAGGAGTTTAAGTCCTTCGAGGTTGTGCAAATATGTTCTAACATATGTCAGTACTTTCCAGATTATGTCCCAGAGCTCGTTTACAGGGCACAGAGACCTTCACTCTGGTTCCACCAACAGTTTTCCCAGCACTCACACTGGGATGGGAAGAAAAGATGCTAATTAAATCTGATTCTCTCCTCTCTCCATCACATGCCAATGATGGCTGAGTAGCTACTACAGGAACCTAACTGGAGAGTGTCTCATGGTATTCTCCAAACTCACACACTTGGGGTTGTGTGTGTGTTTTTTTTAAAAAGAATCTCTTTATAGTATATGGATACTTAGAGTTCTTTTAAAGGAAGAATAAATGGGGAGTCCAGGTATGTTTACCCCATCTCCCAGAGCAGTAGCCCATCAGAACCAATATTAAAGGACTCTTCCCCACCATCCAGGGGGTAAATAGAAACTGCCCCACATTCTTACAACAACTATGATGATTAATATACATTGGCCACATTCAAAGGATTTATAACACAACTTGTATTTCCCTTGATGTTTCTTAGAAGAGATTTCCCAGGAACAGCCTGCTTGCATTGAGCTGGAGAAGAAGACAGTCATCACTTCCCATAGGGCAAAGCAACAGTTTTGTTAGGCTTTCCTCCAAGAAATTGGAAGCTGTCTCAACTCCGCAGCCGTGAGCATTTAGTCGGAGGAAACTTTTGGGAAACAATCCAATTCTAAATTCTCACAAGGCTAGCAGGAAGAAGGGACATGCCCCGAAACGCGTTCCAGCCTGAGAGATACATGAATGACACGACAACAAGCAAACCTTTAAAATGGACTTTACAGCCAAGGATATTGGCAATTCATGTTTTTTCAAAGTTTGGAAGATATTCCTGTTTAAATTCTTAGTCAAAGTCCTTATAAGAAATAGTGTAACCTTTTGAGTTTTTCACGTATATGGCTTTAAAGATTTTTTTTTAAAAAAAAATACAAAGCAATAGTTTTTGTTATAATTTTTCACTTTATAATTTTTGTTTTACCTTGTCACTTCCCACAGGGCAAAGCAATAGTTTTGTTGGGCTATTTTCATTTTCAAATGGAGAAGCTTTCAGTCCCTTAATCTCTTCTGGGATTTCCTTTCTGAAGGTGTTGTGGGTTTTTTTGTGAACGCCTCTTTTAAATTTTGCCAAAGTTTGCTTCACTCAAGGTGCATTAGCATTTTTACTGGCAGTTTTTCCATCCAGGGTGCAAGCCTAACTTCACTAGTACTTGAAATGTGCCTTGTACACCAATTCCAGCATGCTGACCCTTAGTTTATGGTCAAGTCTTGCCTCCTGCCCCACTATGTCAGATAAAGGTGCCTCCTTTTTTCAATTATTTAAAGTAGAACATGTATATTCATTTTTCACACTACGAATGTGGTTGAAAGCAGTGCCAATACACAGTAGGCTTCAATTCATTCTACTTGAAACATCCCCAAAAGTAATGGAACAAATTATTTTAGAGCTTGCAGCAAGATAATAAAAGGTACATTTTATAAAAAACGAAACAAAAATACTTCCAAAACATCTTTGCTGATCTACAATTTCACATCCACCTTGCCCAAACCCTGAAAGCATTTGAAAATCACAGCTATGAGCTGAGGATGTTTCTTATCACTGAAGTCCCAGACCAGAGTTCCAACTCCTTGTTTTACTCCTTTAATGAAGAGAAGGATAATGGCTACTGAGAAAGTTATGTTCCCACTAAGGATACCTCTGTACACTTTCTTCTTCTTTTTCTTCTCTTTCTCAGAAAGAGCTTGCCACTAAGTTCCAGAGCTGGCATCACATATCTCAAGGAGCAAGAAAGCTATGGAGACAGACTAGAAGCATTCCTCAACAGGCCACGTGATGTTACTAGTTAATCTTTAGAGACCATACAGAAAAATAGTAAAATACCTCCCCATTTGACACGGTCTGGAATTATTTTCAGCTTTTTTCTGATCGGTCCATTCATCAGGTCACTCAGCTTGTCTTTATTTTGATATTGCACATGACGCTGGAAGAGTTTCACTTTAAAAAAGAAGGTAGACATTTATTGGAGAGGGTAAACAAGGTTGGAGTAGATATTTAAGGACATTACACACACCTGACTCTCACATTTCCCCTACAGATGCCCCCAACTTTGCTTCCGTTTTAGGGCTGGGGGAGCCCATATTGTATGTTCAGTTTAATCACAAAGACAACATTTTGAACATGCTGTAATCTTTGATGCACATTTGAACTAAGCTTAGAAGAGCACAACACTCAATGGAAAACTGGTTCATCAAGGAAAATGAAACTCACATTAAGCGATCTCTGCCCACTTTATGAACTACCACATAGATAAAATGTAAACACACTACAAACCATTGCTCAATAGCATTTCCATGGAGTTTGCATCAACCTCCCCCCCCCCCAATTAATACAACCAAAACAGGAAGTTCGGCAGAAGACACGGAGCTGGGGAGCTCAGTTAGCAAACGGCTGCAAGGATGCGGGGAGGGTTCCTTCCCCAGACTTGCATATACTACATCATAAAGAACTAGTGTAGCCAAGTCCACTTTGGGAAATTCTTGGATGTCTGAAGGAGGAAGCCTGGGAAAGATGGGGTGCAGGGATGTCAACCTCCAGGTAGTGGTTGGAGATTTCCTGGGATTATAACTATGCCAGTTTGGTGTAGTGGTTAAGAATGAGGACTCTAGGACTTCCGGTTTTTGGCGCCTCAACAATGGCCGCGTCTCTCGGTTCCTCCGAGAGACGTGTGCCATGAATCGGGGATTAGGAGAGAGCGTGATTGTGCACGCTCCCCCATGGAGTCCATAGGCAATGGACTCCTAGCCAGGGGGCTTTGGAGAGCCCTACCTCCGGCTGACAGCCAGCACAGGGGGGCTGCTCTCTGCCCCGAAGGTCCTGCCCTGATTCCCAGTATTGGACTCGAAGCGACCACCGGGACAAGCGTATGAAGGTTTGGCGATTTTACTCTGCCTAGCGAGATCCCAGGGAGACCTGCTGGATCATTTTTGAAGACGGATAAGTGAGTTTAAGTGAAAGCGAGACATCGGAGCCCTGTTGCGAAGCCCCCACAAACTAAAGCGGGAAGGGGGAGGGGACACCCTACCCCCTCAAGCGAATGAACGAAGTGGGACGGTGGGGGACTGAACTAACCGTGGCAATAGATTACAGTAGAAGGACTAGATCAGAGAAATCTCCTAATAAAAGCATTTACAGGCCCTTTGAGACTTTGGCAACTTCAATCGGTAAATGTAAACAACCCTCCAAGATGGCAATAGAGACATTGAGGGAGGTGGGACGCAAGCTTCTCTCAGGAAGAAACGGAGGGGTAGGTCAGGTGACCTAACCATAGACTCTTCCTACAGCATAGAATCGGGTGCCATCTGCTGGCTAAAGTGGGATATTCGACGGGAATGGCTCTAATTGTGGTGAGACTTTTAAAGGGACAGTGTTTAGAATAAGAAGCAGCGAATCTTGGTTTATAGACGAAATTGAGACTGTGTATAGCTTGTATTGGATGGTGGCAAGCAGATTAAAAAGCAATTGGACTCTTGTACCATAATAAGCGAGTGAAAGCCCTGGAAAAGGAAAGCGGTACTAACTGGACAGAGCCTGTTTCATTAAAGCTGTTTATGAAATAAGAATAAACAGAGAAGGAAGAGGACAAATTGAGATGACTATATGGACTGAGTGAATCTAGGCTCCACAAAGTTGTGTTTGTGGGGAGGGAGGGGAAGCGCAATGGGAGATGTCAATGTCTTTTAAGGTCTCTGTACTTCTTAATTAGCTTTGGAGCTATTCTCTGTCTAGACAGATAAGCTGGATTTTAACTTGAAGCGATGAACAAGGAAACTCCTCATGTCAGAAGTTAATTGATAAAGAGTTACAACTTTGTATCTATAAGCATATGTAACCATCTACACTTGGGCTTTTAGTGCCTTTTTCTCTGTCTCCCTTAGTCTGTAGTCTTTCCCCTCCCCTTCTTTCGTTATAGTTATGTAGTTATTTTAGAAATGCAAATAAAAAAATCCCCTTCGGGGGGCAAAAAAAGAATGGGAAAAAAGAATGAGGACTCTAATCTGGGTAAACCGGGTTTGATTCCCCACTCCTCCACATGCAGCTGCTGATGTGACCTTGGGTCAGTTACAAGTTCTTTCAGAGCTGTTCTTGCAAGGACAGTTCTCAAGAGAGCTCTCTCAGCCTCACCTACCTCGCAGGGTGTCTGTTGTGGGGAAGGGAAGGGAAAGGAGTTTGTAAGCTGCTCTGAGACTCCGTCGGGTAGTGAAGGGCAGGGTATAAATCCAATCTCTTCTCTTCTTCTCCAGGTGACAGAGATCAGTTCCCGTGGAGAAAAGGGCTCCTTTGGAAAGTGGACCCAATGGCACTGACCCCACTGAAGCCCCCTCCTTCCCCAAATCCCACCCTTCTCAGGCTCCACCACCAACAGGTATTTCCCAGCCCAGAGCTGGCAACACTAATAGGGTGTCACAGTGTTCACCCTCCAAAGCAGCCATTTTCTCCAGGGAAACTTATCTCTGTAGCCTGGAGATCACTTGTAATTATTAGAGATCTTGAGGCCTCTCCTGGAAGTTGGCAACCCTATGAAGGGGGAATTCCTGCAATTCCCCGTATCCTCTCCCCGTTTTGTTATTGTTTCCTTCCTGGGAGCAAAGCCAAATACCTATGCTTTGCTAAAATAACAAAAACACTACCAAATCTCATAAGCTGCACACACAGGCCTTGTCTACACTACCAACTGATACTGGCCATACCCAGCTTAACTAGCATGGCTTCCCCAATGAAGAGAGGAGTTGTGGCTCGGGGGCAGAGCAATTGCTTGGCATGCAGAAGGTCCAGGTTTAATTCTCAGCACCTCCAATTAAGAGGATTGGGTAGCAGGTGTCTGCCTGAAACCATGAAGAACACCTGCAAGGCAGAACAGAAAGGATTGCCCTTGATAGACAAGCAGTTTGACTTGGCATAAGGCAGCTGCATGTGAATCCTGGGAAATATAGTTTGGGGATGATGATAAAAAATCCTGTCACCATTCCTTAGTCTTCCTCACCCAACTGTCATTCCCAGGGTCCCCTGAGGAGAAAAAATGACTGTTAAGCTGGTTTTAAACCTGCGGCAGGCTAATAAACCCACAGAAGCCTTGATTTTTTTCCAACCAGCCCTTCACACTGCAATAAATTCCTGGCTGTGAAAATACCACCCGCCTGTGGAACTCCCTCTCAACTTACAAAAGGGAGTCAATTCACTCGTAACAGATATAAGGGACGAAGTTTCCGGAGTTAGGATGTTATAGAAATTCACACCATTCGTGTTCTAGGAAAGAAGAGAGAATATAGCAAGGAGGTCTCACCAAGAAAGCAAAAGTGGCACTTTGTTGTTTTGTTTCATTTTTAAAGACATGTTTGCAATCTCCCGCCACCAAAACCCCATCCAACGGCAATTCTGTAAGAATACTAGAGACCTTTAAACACTAATTCTCAGCATTCTAACAATTCAGTGGCAAAGGGACCCAGGAAACATCATACCCGTTCTCCACACTTCAGTCTATTGAGGCAGAATGGTTTTTAAGCCTTAGACTCAAGTCTAAAAAAGTAAATAACCAACTACTTTGCTTGCATGAGAGGTATATATTCTTAATGCAGGACTGAAGATCACCATTCTAGAACATGCCCTTAATACAAGGCAGGGTCCTCCCATGTACTAAAATGTGCCTGCAGCCACAGAACAGAACAACTTGCATCATCCACACCAGCGGCAGAAAGCTCTCCGTGCTGCAATAAGGGAGCAGTTTAATAAACTGCCACCTTGCATACATCACAGGAGAAAGGTGGGTTTGAAAAAAAATGTAAATAAACAAAGCCATCTATATGGATTAAGCAAGTGAGCCAAGCCACACTATATAGCAGAAGCACAAGTTCCCATCCAGGCTGAGGGAGACCACGAACAGTTAAGAGTAGGAGTCATGTACCTTTCATAGAGAGGCAATTTTGGACAGGTATAACTTCTCAGCCTTGCATGAGAAGGCAGCACTCCAATTCCTGTGAAAGAGGTACACGAGCCTCAACCCCCCTTGCATCCAGTGCTGGGGAAACCATTTTCTTTCTCACCTCCTTACTCAGTGACAAAGTTGCTACTACGTCATAAAGTGTTGCTCAATCTGCTCTCGCCTTTAAAAAAAAATAATAATAATAAGGCAGCCACCTGACCTCTTCTATGATATCCTCCGCCTTACTCCAAAGCAATGTTGCCAATTTGTATTCCTTGTTATTCATGGCATTCAGGATCTTTTTGGCAGCACCGGTCACTTCTTTTAAACCTTTATCATCGAGGTAAGACTGCAAGGTGAAAAGCAAAAGCAAACACCAGCTGGTGAGCCACTGGCATGCATTCCCCTAAGTGCCCGGGACAAACAGGAGGAGATGGTTGGCACGCTTCCCAGGAGCATCCAGCAGGTTGCCTTTGGGTAACAAGGGCTGGGCGAGACGGGCCTTCCGCCTGACGCGGCATGATAAGTTGTTTTGGTTTTTTTTAAATGAATGTATATATGTTTTAATATTATGCTACTACTATTATTATTATTATTATATTTTATATATATTAGATACCGGACAACAACAAGTTTTGAGGTTTGTTACAATGTAAGTTGTCCAAAGCTCTAAAAAGAAGCAGTTCTGAACATAATTACTTGAAAATATACAAAATTTACATGTTAAGATGTGTGTATTTAAGCATAATTTTACACTGTTCTCGATTTTACTGTTAACCTTTTGTCTAAAAACAATAAAAATCTTTAAAATGAAGAATGAAAACGCCAAAGTTAAAAAAAGTAGTGATGAGTAAATACTTACAGTGCTATAAAGGTAAGGCCCCCAGGACAGCACAGAATCTAAGAAGTAGGGGAAAAAACACAAGGGTTTTTTTTTTTAAAAAAAAACAACCTTTCATGATGCAGCATCTTTCAGCATCTTCCCTGTACAATTAACTTCCATGAAGTTTCTTACAACTGAGCACAATCCACCAAGCAGGTTTTCCCCGGTGTGTGCTTAATTCAAACAAATGGGAGCTGTGTGCCTGTATCAGACCACAGATTACTTACAAACACATTACTTACAGACAAGGCTGGGAGTATTCTGTGCGGCTGCAGTTGTGCTGCATAAGCACAAAATCTATCATGCAATTTTATGCCAAACAATTTAGTATGCTAAGATCAGCTCCCCCCCCCAAAAAAGTGAGTTTCTAGCTTTGATTTTTATCATGAAACAGCCTTGAATATGTACAGTTTGAGCTTTCAGCCTTTGCATGCCGCATTGTGAAGACTAAACACAAGGTTGGGAGGACGGAATGGCATTACAGTCACAAAGCTTCAAGTTCACCTTATGCGTGTTCCCTTGAAGAGGTGTAGTAGCTCTACATGCTCAAGAAAAGTATTCAAGTAGGCAGCTCTCCATGTTCAACAGGAACTCCTTCCTAGCCAGTCTTTTACTTGCTGGTTTTTTATGCCCTGTCCATTTTCAACTGTTTTTAATTGTTTAATGACATGTGTTTGGGGGGTGATTTTAATGGCTTTGAAATATGGTTTTATCATGCATGTTTTCAATTGTTAGCCACCTTGAAATAATACAAATTTTGCAATAGAAATTTTAGATGTAAGGTCTACATACACAAACGGGGGCGGGGGAAGAGTTTAGTAATGTAATACCACTCTCCTGCCCTAAATGTGATGTTAAAAGGGGTAACTTGACGTGTTGGTCATCTGAGACGGCTGAGCAACACTTCTGTGTGGGGAGGGGTAGCTGACTGCTTTGTACAGCTTTTCACCTCTCCCTCTGGCAACAGAAGCACAAGGCTCATACTCGACATGCTGGGTTCAAATGCAGCCTGTTGGCAAAAGTACAAGGAAAGAGGAATGGTTTCTTCCTCTCTTGTTTTCTTTCTGGATAAAGCCATCCCTGAACTATTTTTACCCCTGCTATGGGGGGCAAGGAGCTGCGGTGGCTCAAGTGGTTAAGACGCTGAACTGCAGGCTGTGGAAGGTCGGTAGTTCAGCAGTTCAAGATCCGAGTTGCCGCAAGATGGAGTGAGCTCCCGTCTCTAGTTCCAGCTCTGCCAACCTAGCAGTTCGAAAGCAAGAAATTGCAAGTAGATAAATAGGTACCACTTTGGTGGGAAGGTAACAGTGTTCTGTGCACCTCAGTGTTTAGTCATTCTGGCCACATGACCACGGAAACGTCTTCGGACAGCGCTGGCTCTTCGGCTTTGAAACGGAGATGAGCACCGCAACCCTAGAGTCGGACTCGACTGGCTTTCGAGCAAGGGAACCTTTACCTTTACTTATGGGGGGCAAAGAGGTACATATGTTTTCCCCAGAAAGAATAAATGCAGGGTGGCTTTTTCCAGCAAGAAAACGGGGCAGGAAAATGTCCCTCTCTCTCCATGCCCCCCTTTCCTCCTTGATCCAACAGTCTAATGTCCTCTGGTTAAAAAAAATAGTTATATCTATTTATTTATTCATTGTATTTTTGTGCGTGTGTGCATGTATCTGCACCTGGAAGTCATGGCGATCTCTGGTGACTGACCCCTACTGGGGGCCTGGAGGATATTCAGAGAGGTGGCTGAATAAAGCCTGCCCCCACCTCCCGACTGCTGGTATTCCAAGGAGGTCTCCCATCCAAGTACTTGCCAGTGTCGACCCTGCTTAGCTTCTGAGATCTGATGAGGTCAGGCTTTCCTGGGATATCCAGGTCAGGGCAAAAAGAAAAAGAAAAAGTCACTTTAATAAACACAGCAACCCCCCTCAACTGCCCCCCCCCAAAAGAATACACTGAAGCTGAATTTGTTGTCAAGCAAGTCTCCACTCTGCCACACAGCTCACTGGGTGACCTTGGGCCAGATTCTCCCTCTCAGCCTAAACTACCTCTCAGAACTGCTGGGAAGATAAAGCAAAGGAGAGAACTATGTACACAGCTCATCAGAGGAAGAGTGTGATCAAATTATTACCAACAAATACTGTTGCAAATTTGCTCCATTCTCGCACAATTTAGTTAGGGCACAGATTTCAGGACACAAGGACTTTGCAACAAAGGCTTGCAGGTAGTTGGAGGCAGACCAGGTGCGGAGCATGAGCTGCCACTGCATCCCCTCACTTAAAAAATTGGTCAAAGCCTCTCTTCATACAACCTGCATCCTTCTGAATCTAAAAGACAGAGGGATGCTTCCAATAATGATATGCTTAAGGTGTAATTAAGGTGCCTCTGTATCTGGACTCTAACAATGCTGTCCCACCATTTATTTTCATCTGCCTTGCCACTTTTTGTTGGGTCGAAGGAAACACTTTACAGTACTCAGTTATTTATAGAGGGAACACAAAATACTTTCAACCGAAAAGGGATATTAACTGAATCTTCGTGAAACAAGAGGAAGAGGTGTTAAGAGGCTCATGGGCAAAACGTTCAGAAGACTCCTGTTGACATACCTAGAGGAGAAATCCATGAGTCACCAAGGGCTACCCCGAGAAAACGGCACTTGATCGTCTCGGCTTGAACTGCCTTTCAAAACAAAGCCAAGAGAAAAATCAGGATCCTCACCTGATGCCGACTCAGTTACAGCAGTGCAGGGGGGCTGGGATGCCTAGCTTTACCTGCTGCTTCCCCTTTTAATTTTTGTTACTGTTCAGAAGAGGTTAACGACTGGATCCTTTTGTCAAGTGGAATCATCAGGTTGTGGTTTTTTTTGTTAAGAACAAAGCCTTTGTTGAAAAGTTCAACCTCATTAAATGGTTATCTTGGAGGTGACAGTATAATTGGCAAGCAAAAGCCAGGTTCCACACAATAGGTGAAACAGGCTTTGGCACGGTTTCTACATGCAGGGCATAAGGATGATCTTTGTTCCTCAAGACTGAAAGTTTCTTCATTCCTGTATGGAATATTTTGGCCTGAAGGAAAACCCTGCTTTTAGGGGAAAGTGTAAGTTAGCCTACCTAGGTATCTTTTTTTGTTCTGTATTGGTGTTGGAGTCTTGTGTTAAGTACTGATATTTGTTCCTTTTGTAGAATAAATTTCTTTTTGGTTTCCTCACATAAGGAAAGTTGTGGTTATTTGGTGTGCACCCTGGGTCTTGTAAGAAAAGAACTTACGAGCTCATGGAGGGTTGCTGAGTCTCCTGGACTGGAGTTGGCAACTCCCTGTGACAGCACCTTCAATTAGGCCTCTTATCCCTGGCCTGGGAGAGAAGCCTTAAAGAGGGGGTGCACCACAGGGGCTTATCACCTATTGCCCATATGATCACCAGTGCCCTTCTCCAACCCAGTTGCCAGAGCAGGCTCTTCTTTTTGGCAAGATGAATCCTAGATCAGTGAAAAAGCTCCTGCTTTGCAGGCTGAAGTCACAGAGTCAATCCCCAGTTCACAGACCCAAGGAGCAGTGCTGGGAATGACCCAGAGGATGCTTGGAGACACGTACCAGTTCAAGTAGACAGAAGTGGCTGCATGGACTGTTGATCTGCCTCAATGCAAGACAGCTGCACATTTATATGCATGAACGTATGAGTGTTTCTTTAAAGCAAAAAGGAGAGACAGTCTGTCTGGCAGACAGGGAGAGGCGATTGCTTGCCAATTCAGCATTCAAGTTGCCAAAATGTACATACTAGCTGCAGAGCAGGGTTCCTACTTCCTGGTGAAGAAGCCACACCGACCACTCCAAATGTAATGTGTTGGATCCTACCACTTCTCTCAGCCAAGTGCTATCTGGTGAAAGAGGCTCCTCATACTGAGGGAAGCATCTACACTTCACTGAGTGGAGTAGCAGGATCCCACCCCAATGTCTGTCTTCTCTCTCTGGGTCACACAAGAACGGCATGTGACAAGCAAGTGTCCATTCTCGTTATCAAGAAGGGATTTGTGTGTTACCTTATGGAGCTCCAAAGCAATGGCAGCGGCCATTTTCCCACCATAAGATTCTGAAAAGATGTAGAAGGGGATTTTCTGCAAGGGAAGCCGCATAAAGGCCTTGAGCACTGTGCATTTTATTCGTTCACCACCACCAATTAAAACCTTCATCCATTTCTTCTACCACTGGCAACCCCCACCCCCCACCAGAATATACCGTATTTTTCGGACCATAAGACGCACCTGACCTTAAGACGCACCTAGTTTTTAAAGGAGGAAAACAGGGAAAAAAATATTCTGAACCTTCGATCCATAAGACGCACTCACTTTTCCTCCCACTTTTTTTGGAAGAAAAAGTGAGTTTTATGGTCCAAAAAATACGGTAATTACTTGAGGCTTAGCAAACCCATCACAGAAATTATGCTCCTGCACATTTTTCTTAAGGTAGCCTGGAATGCTGGATGTAGTGCAGCAAACATGAAGAAGCAAACATCGAACAGAGTGCTGCACATTCCTCAGTCCTTTCCCGCTTTTCAGTGCATTTCAGCGTAATCACCAGAACTAGAAGCTTAACAACACACACACACGTGCTATTCCTGTGGGGATTCTTGGGGCTAGAATGCCATTCCACCTTACTTCCTGCCAGGGCTATTTTTGGGCAGGAACGCACAGGAACGGAGTTCCGGCTGGCTCCTGAGTTGGCCACGCCCAGCAGGAACTCATTAGCATAATAGGCCACACCCAACAGCAGAAACTCATTAGGATTGGCTACATTAGAGGTGTGTGGCCTAACATGCAAAGGAGTTCCTACCAATGTTCCCTCTAAGCTGTAGAGTCCTGTGAGCAAAAATTCTACTTTGTGAGCTACCGGCAGTAAAATTTGGCTGCTGCATAAATTAGTGTGTTCTGGAGCCATCCTTCCTGAGCTGAGACAAAAATGTGTGAGCTGGAGGCTAAAAAACTGTGAGCTAGCTCACACTAACTCAGCTTAGAGGGAACACTGGTTCCTACTACAAAAAAACCCCTGGGTTTTGACAACAAACAAGGTAAACAGAATAAGGAGCAAAAGGTGGGTGTGGCTGGATGACCACACTTCTGGTAATATGGGGTTGTGGCCTAATATGCTAATGGGTTGTGCTGTCAGGGGTGTGGCCTAATATGCTAATGAGTTCCTGCTGTTGGGTGTGACCTATTATGCTAATGAGATCCTGCTGGGCTTTTTCTACAACCCCCCCCCCTGCTTCCTGCTGCTTGCAGGGGTGGGGAAAGCACAAGGACAGCCACACTTCACCTTTCTAACCATTAGAGGAGGTTTTGGGCAGTGTGTGTTTGGGGGGGTACAGTTTAAGGCAGCCAGACCACACAGTCCAGGTCTCAGAATTCCAAATCCAAGTGCTAAATGCTAAGTAATGGCTCTGTGACAATCCGTCAAAACTACACATAACCCTGTGTCATGTCTGTCACGTATGGATGTTCCCAGGCAGGGGTGGCTGGAAGGTGCATGCCACAACAGCATCCTTCCTGTGCCTGGTCAGGGCCTGGGCGGACAACATTCCACAAACTGCCTCAAGTTCCACAAAAGAACAAAGGAGAGATCTGAATTCAACAAAGAACATTAAGCACTTCTTTATCTCCTGAGAAGAAGAGAGCAAACAGTGACACCTGCCTGGAATTCTGTCCTCGAGCTGAAGAATTTCCTAAGAACGACCATCATATCCGATGTGACCATACAGAGATCGGTGGCATATGCACTGCTGTCATTAGCGTAGCTGTAGCCAGTGCCGACAGGGTTATCAATGAACAGCACGCTTGCGGCCTGCAACTGTGCCACAAAAGGAAAGCAGGATCAGCCACACTGGCAACACATGGAGCACCGATGAGCGTAAGAGAACCCTCAGCAATAAACCAAAACAGGGCTGTGCATTGAGCCCAGATTCCGGCAGCAAACACAGACCCTCTGAAGTTCCTATGAGCTACTTTAAAAAAAATTATTTTGCTGATTTGCAAAGGCACTATCCTCAGAAGCTGTTTTTCACATGTATCATTTAGCTTTTAAGATATTTTTTATTTAGTTAGTTAATTAGACTTGTGTCCCGCTCCTTTCCCCACCAAGCAGGGCTCAGGCTGGCTTCCAACAATTATATACAATAAAATCAGCATTAGAATAAAATCCACATCATTTCAGTAAAAACCTAACAGTCCGCTACTATCAGATGCCCCCCCCCCCAGCAGTCTGTCACTAGTGGGCAGCCAGAGAGGGAGTCAGCACAAGGACGCGTGGCTCAGCATGAATAGAAATAACTGCCCTAAAAAAGGGTAAAGAAAAAAGATGGGATTGGAAAAGAATAAAGCAAACACCAGAATGAGAAGGGAATAAACTACGAGAAAGGGAGAAAGAGAGGAAAAGGAGAGGAAAAGGAAAAGGAAAAGAGGGAGGTTTGCTGATTTCTTTAGTCCTCAGTACCCTCCACCATATGCCAGGTGGAAGAGTTCAGTCTCACAGGCCCTCTGGAACTGAGCCAAGTCCCGCAGGGCTCGAGTCTCATCAGACAAGGAATTTCACCATGTCGGGGCCAGGGCCAAAAAGGCCTGGCCCTGGTCGAGGATCGCCGGACCACTCTAAGGCCAGGGGTAAACAATAGGTTGTTATTAGACAAGCGTACTGCTCTCTGAGGGGTATATATAGAGAAACAGTCCCATAGATACGATGGTCCCAGACCATTTAGGGCTTTAAAGGTAAGCACCAAAACCCTGAACCTGATTCAGTACTCAGAGTCTGGAGCCAGTGCAGCTGATAGAGCACAGGTTGTATATGTAAGGACCCACGCTGCTGCATTCTGGACCTGTTGAAGCTTCTGGAGCAAGTTCAAGGGCAGCCCTGCATAAAGCGAGTTACAGTAGCCTAATCTAGAGGTGACCATTGCACGGATCACTGTGGACAGGTCAGGATGGGACAGGTATGGGATCAGTTGCTGGGTTTGGTGAAGGTGAAAAAATGCTGTCCTGGCTGTATTTGTGACCTGAGACTCCAACAAGAGGGAGGCATCTAGGATCACACCCTGACAAAGGGAGCTAGTACTAGCCGCTGTCCTTCGTGGTTTAAAGATGCAAATGTTCTATATTTGGTGTTGGTACAGTTTGACTTTTAAGGTTCCCTTCCCTGGAAATACAATACAGCGCCACTGACATTTAACAGGAACTGAAAACGAAACAAACATAAACAGGAAGAATGGTAACAAAAGCTTCACTGTGACATTTCTGAGTTTCTGTGGAAGACGACGGAATGGGGCCAGTTAAAAAGGTGTCAGGATTGGTGGCCTAGGAGCACCACTGGAAGAAAAAGTGGGAAAGATATCCAAACGCATTGTATGGACAAGAAGAAACAAATGAGAACAAAAAAACTGCAATGGTATATGACCAACTAAATGTAAAAATAATAATCTGGAAGAGAGTTCATCTAATATGAACTCGGCAATGGTGCCCCCCCCCCCCGGGTTAATCACATGTTTATGGGAACAATGATGGTTAGGGAAAAAGCTGACTGTCCGAACGATAAGCCATGACACATACCCAAGTTGTCCTTCGTGGCTTCAGATCAGCATCTAAAGGGCCAATCTCTTCAAAGTTTCCATATCCGCAGCCTGAAGCCCCTGGGCCTCCCTGTGAAACCAGGCAGGTGAGAACATAGAAGGGGAGAATCAGAAGAGCTGTACAGTTTTTGTCTCCACAAAGCCTACGCACTCCTTTGCCACTATTCTTCACTTGAAAAGGAGGCTGGGGTCTTACACAGCAAGTCCATGGCCGAAAGGGGATTTGACTCGAACAAAAAGGGGCGGGGGAGGGAAAAGGGGGAAAAAAAAGAAAACTCAACCCAAAAAGCTGCTATGAATCCACAAGGGTTAAGCTGACACTAAATATTATAAACATACAAAATTTATTCAGGTGTACACATTTATAAAAAACTTAGACTCATTAAAAATATTCACATTCAGACATGAAAATTTTTTCAACATACATACATAGATGGGTTAGTGCTATGCAACTGAACCAAATGCGTTTTGGCCCCAAAGGACCTTCCTCAGTGGTCACAATCCAAAATACAAACTTGACATACATTCAAAAAAAGTTTTTTTAACATCAGATGTTAAGTACATATGCAATATAAGGCCAGATGTTGTATCCTTATATATCTATATGTATATTATTATTGTATATGATAGGCCTCAGGTATAGCCAATTAAAGTCCACCAGTACTTCTGGTAGCATAGATTTGCGTGAGTTGAATGTATGTCACTCCATCCTATACAAATTGATCACCTCAGAAATCCCAGGAACCTACTTGGGGCTACCCTTGAAGAGTGTTTGGAAGTTGCAGCTAGTGCAGAATGCTGTGGCCAGACCGCTGGTAGGGGGCCAGCCTTCGGGAGCATATGATTCTCGCACTTCAGTGACTTTAATTATACTGCTCATTTAGCCTATAGGCCTTGAACAACGTCACACTAGATACAACAAAAAGTAAGTAATTTAAATAACCAACCAGTTACTGTGCTCGAGGTCCTTCAAATTTAATACGCGAGCAACAGATTACCACTGATGTAACTCCTAAATCCACACCTGCCAAGAGTTTCTTAACCTTATAGGGTGCTAACAACCCCTCATTATCACAGAAAAGAGGAGTTATCCACGCGTCCTTAATACTGCAAAAGGTGCCTCATTCCAATAAGCAATGCTCCAAAGTTTCCATCTGTTTAGAAGCCCAGTCACAAAGACCAGGGCTGAGGACTAGGCGAGACGGGGATGTGGACACAGCCCTGCAGCAAGCTGAACAAAAGGGCCTCTCTGCAGTGTGAAGCAAAGCAACACCACAAGGACCCCTTCACTCTGACTTGGGCTGCAGCAATGGCAACGACAGGTGAGCCAACACATGCAGTCAGCATCTCCATGCCGTTCCGATCTCAGCTGGGAAGCCCCTGCAGGGTTGGCATTGGCAACACCCCTGGGATCACTTGGCTCAGCCTGCTCTTGGCCATCAGTGGCCTGCCGGGAACTTTCTCAGGAAACTCAAGGGAAGGTCTAACCCGGGTTCCTAACTTTTCAACTAGTCCTCTCCCATTGGGGTTTTAACAGCTTAACCTGTAATTAAGCAAGGTGCGCCATTTCATTTTATGCTGCAAAGATGAACAGTTGGGGCCAGCTGAAAAACGGGCAACCTAGATATTTTTGTGCTCGCCTCGCTCGCTCTCCTCTCCCACCCTGTGTTGTCTCCTCTACCGGGGGCATCATTTTGATTGTCAGCTCTCTGGGGCAAAGATCGGTCTATTTCTTTTGCTGTCGTCACTCATAACTTCCTTAAAGTGCCATCTCATTCATGGAGTTATTTTTCTGCAACCATTACAGGAAGAATAGTTGGATGGAGTGCCGAGCCCTGCAGAATGATATACCGGGACCAGACTTGTCATTGCTCTTTCCCACTTTGTTATGTTCTTAACTAAGCAAATCCTATTTGAATCCAGGGCATAATTGCCACAGAGGTGGGACTCATTTACAGCATATTTCTTTGCGGCTGGCACATATTTTAGGATTAGGGTGGAGAACAAAGGGAATGAGTATGACATTTTCCTTTTTAGAAGATCAGCACTTGTGGCTTGCGCTCTAGCCTGCTGCAAAATGAAGACTGCGTAATTCTTTACAAATCACTTCCTGTACCGAACTTACTTGAAGCCACAAGATAAGAGGAAGCTCTGTGAAATTCTTGGCAGGGTTGTCTGCATAGTACAGCCACCAGAACATGCTTGCATTGCTTCTGACAGGGACATACCCCCATGCCTGCTTTGGTTCTTTTGATTCCTTTAGCAAAAAGCCTAAAAGGAAAGATCAATGATAGTCAGTGTAGAGAGCCAACAATCTGGCTACAAATTTATGTGCTCTTGAGGAATACACGTACAGGGGAGAATGAAACGGCTCTCTTCTCCATAAATGGCACCTCAGCATATACCTTATTCTGCTCCCCCAAGGAGGTTTCACTAGGCTCAAAGCTAATGATGTCTCCAGTGCTGCCCAGTAAGCCTCACAGCATAGTGAGGATACAGCTGCCACCACTACACAAAAGGCAAACAGTTTATGTCTTTAATATCTTCATGGCAGGCAGCAATTAATTCAACAGGCACAATGCTTACCACCCAAGGTTGCCAATCTCCAGGTGGCACCTGGAGATCTCCTGGAATGGCAACTGGTCTACAGACGACAGAAATCAGCTCCCCTGGAGAAAATGGCTGCTTTGGAGGGTGGACTCTATGGATTATACCCACTGAGGTCCCTCCCCTCCCCAAATCCCACCTTCCCCAGGCTGCACCCCCCCTGCAAGCTTCCAGGAATTTCCCCAAGCCAGAGTTGGCAATCCTATACCTTATCATTATTTTGCACTGAAGAGCAAATGGTATGCCTGTTGCTGATTAATTCCTCTTAAAAATACACAGTCAACTAAGGTTGTCAGTCTCCCCACATACCCTTAAACCTCTACAGATTCACACTTGTTTTCCTTTCAAAGAAAATTCCAGAGAGATTGTTACGTCTTCAAGGATTTTGTGGCATTTTTTTAAAAGCACTGAGCATCAGTCTGGAGTGAGGCAGCATTCAGTGAGCAGTTAGCTCAGCCTCGCACCAGACATTTCATCAACACCGTGAGCAGAAGAGGGGAGGGCAAGGCAGAAGCAGCCTGCAGTTCTTTGGCACACAGAACATTGAGGGCACGAGCCTGCCCACAAACCTTCCACTAGGTGACCTCTATCAGTCCTTATCTTAGGCCTGAATGTGTGCCAGTTTCTTTCAGAGGCATTACGCACAGTGTTTAGTTCACACCCTGTGACTCAGAAATAAAGCCCATCTATGGGACACAACAGGAGCTGCGGTGGCTCAAGTGGTTAAGACGCTGAACTGCAGGCTGTGGAAGGTCAGTAGTTCAGCAGTTCGAGACCCGAGTTGCCGCATGACGGAGTGAGCTCCCGTCTCTAGTTCCAGCTCCTGCCAACCTAGCAGTTCGAAAGCAAGAAATTGCAAGTAGATAAATAGGGACCACTTAGGTGGGAAGGTAACAGTGTTCCGTGCGCCTTGGTGTTTAGTCATGCCGACCACATGACCACAGAAACGTCTTCGGACAGCGCTGGCTCTTCGGCTTTGAAACGGAGATGAGCACCGCAACCCTAGAGTCGGATTCGACTGGCTTTCGAGCAAGGGAACCTTTACCTTTACCTATGGGACACAACATATTTGCTTCATTCTTCTCTTCCCATATCATAACGGGTACTCTAAGAAGAGACTGTGACTAAAACCAATAGACTAACTGAACTGCATGGGCCGTAGTTCTGAATCCACACCTTCTTTCTAACCTTCCATCCAATCACAGCTCCCTTGTTCCCCTCCCAGCTGCTGAGGAAGCAGCTCCTCACCCCTTGTAGCTCAGCAACGGTTATGGCAAGGGCCTCTGGAACAGTGTCTGGAATAGGCACCACAGCTCAAGTCTCTCACTTTTTGCTTCCGGACACTAGGTAGCGGGAGAAAAAACAGCATCTCTGGTCAGGACCATGTCTGTCAATGCTGGCCCTGCCCCTGTACCTTCCATAGCTGTGTAGAAGATGAGATTTCAGTTGTGCAGTTTTTCTTATCCTTGAGGGACAAGTTGTGTGCTAAAACCTCCCTATTCTAGGAGACTGTAACAGGCAGTATCCGGGTTCCTGTTCACATATAAGCAGCTGGCATTTTCCTGTTGGCCACCCCCAGAAAGGCAGGCAGAGGTCCTCCGATGTCTTTAGATCTTCTGCTCCTTTCTCCCCTGGTCCCACTGCCCACCTTTCTTCCTGCAGATAGCAGAGAAGGGACACAGCCAAGATGTTAACGGGTTAGGGGAGAGACGGAACAGTGTAGTGGTTAGAGTGTTACCCTGGAGTAGGGCAAGGGAGACTCAGGTTCAAATCTCCAGTTCTTCTTCCTGCAGATAGAAGAGAAGGGACACGGCCAAGATGTTAAGGGGTCAGGGGAGAGACAGAACAGTGTAGCGGTTAGAGTATTACCCTGGAGTAGGCCAAGGGAGACTCAGGTTCAAATCTCCAGTTGCCATGAAAACGTACTGGGCAACCTTGGGCCACTCACTCTCTCCCTGGTCTACCTCACAGGGTTGTTGTGAATATATAATGGTGAAGGGAAGGACCATGAATGCCACCCTGAGCTCCTTGGAAGAAAGGCGGGATTAAAACTCACTAAAAAATAAATGACTCTCCAGGTTACATTCTGGAAATACACACCATGATCAGTGTCATGTGTGGAAAACAATTCCTACACAAGAGCCTTCCTGTTTCACAGAGCTTCCAAACTTACTCTCCTGTTGGTAGATTGTGAAAGATGTAGGACATGGCTCTCCAGAAACTTACAGCACAGCAGTCTGCTGAAATCAGGCTTACACCTACAGATGGGTGGGGAAGGAGTTACTCCCTAATAATGTTGTCGTCTTTCCCCCCACCTGTGCATTACTACATTTCTATGGAGAGATAAATTATCACTGCTAAATTTCTGCCTGTTGTGCAATTAATTGTAAAACTCCTGCCAAGGAAAAGGGCTAATCTTACTTTTACAGTGTTCTTTGAAATCCCAATTATATTGTTTTAAAAGGGCAACTTTGAAGCATTGTACATATACATTTTTGGCAAACTGGGCATAGGGTTACCCAACACGTGGAAATGGGCAGCTGATGCTTTTCAGGGCATGGGGGCCGATCACATCACCTGATAAGTGACATCCCATTAAAGGGTCGAGACCGGGTTTTTTTCTCCGGGCCTGTTACCAACCCTAATCATTCCAAAGACATCCTTCTTGCAAGGTATCAGCACAAATAATTAAAAATGACCAGACCTCCTTAATTTCATGCCACCATAGAATCCTTTAAGGTGCAGAACTCACAGGGTGTCCTTGTGGCTTAATAAATTAAATATTGCATCCATGCAACTTGGGCTTCTCAGGAAGGAGTGGGTGCTTCCCTCTTGCTCTGTTAGGAATCACAATGGCCCTTCTGTTTCGGCAGCTACTAAAGTTGTCCCTGGATCTAAATCTAACCACAGTATGACAGAAGCATCAGTCAGCCACCTTGCTAGACTCAGACAGGAGTCTCTTGCTCCAGCACTGACATGCAAATTAGAGAAGTGGAACTGATTTTAATAGGGCCTGTCCCTATACATAGTAGTTTATAAATAGATCCCATTAATTTGAATACAATCTATTTTTCAGCAAGAACATTCTGGACTTCAGGTTAACATCCAAAATGAGAATGTTCATACAGAGGGAAGAGCTCTACTCTTAAGCAGAACATGGAGTGGCAAGTTAGACACAGAAGAAAGCAGCATCCCTGCATTAAAAAAGTAGGTGTCAGAGGAAATTGTAATCAGTACAGAGCTACTCGAGCCAGCAACAATGGGGCAAGCAGAAGCACCCGCTGAAATCTCATATTTCCTACACATCTACTAAATCAATTGACTCAGGCCATTTATGAAACCTGTAAAATTTTAAAAATCCACAGCCAAGGAAGGAGTTACTACATGCTCAGGGAGACTTCCCAATTATGTTTTTTTTTTTAAATGACAAAAAGAAAATATCCTGGCAAAACAGACAAGGACTGAGCATGCTACCAGCACCCAGATCTGGACGGCCCTGGCTAGTCCGATTCTGTCAGTCCTTGGAAGCTAAGTAGGGTTGGCCCTGGTTAGTATTTGGATGGGAGCCCAGGGTTGCTATACAGAGACAGGCAATGGCAAACCACCTCCAAATGGCTCTTGCCTTGAAAGCCTCAAAGCCCCATGAGGGGTCTCCATAAGTCAGCTGCAACTTGACTGCCCTTTCCACCACAAACTACAAGAGGCATAGAAGAACGGAAGCAGGTGAGAGAGTCAGAGAAAAGAAAGGGAGCGATGGGGGAAACTGGCCTGCTCAAGCCCTACCTTACAGAACCCCAGAGAAGGAGAGTTAGGTACGAGGAAGGCGCTTCTACGTCATTTATGACCCTCCCCTTCAATTCTTCACAGTCCCCCAGCTTGTAATAATACTCAACATCGGCCCCGGTCACACGGGCCAGAAAACGAAGGGGGGAAGCGTGACTGTTTGCCCCGGAGCAAAGTAAAGTGCGGCAGCCCGATCACACGTCCCATCGAGTTCCTGTGGTTAGGTCGTTAGGTGGGGATCACATGGCTATCCTGAAGTGCGGCAAAGAAGTGGTGTGGCGCGATCACACTGGCAATCGCTAGGCGCCGCTTCCGTGGCAAATGGGATTTTTTTCTCATTGACGTTTGCGCACGCGCATGATCGAGCAAGTGCATCCTGTGGAGACTTAAAAAAAACCCCATCCAGTTTGTGATGGGACATGGACAGGCGCCAGATGCCACAGGAATCGAGTGGAAATGTGATCAGATGCCCGCCCTTGGCCCGCGTTTTCAGGAAACTAGTATATTGTATGCGGTAGTTTTTTACTGCGCATCTTCGGCGGGAAGCCACAGGTTAGCCACGGGTGAACTACGCTTCCCAGATGTTGCGATGTGATCGTGCACCGAAAATCCGCCTATCATCCGTGTCTTTAGCGTGGCAACTTCTCCGTGTGAACGGGACCTTTATTTGTTTTAGCCCAGTTCTCCAGTCTGTCAAGAAGATCCTGTATCCTGACTCTGTCTTCTCTCATATTTGCTACCCCTCCCAATTTAGTATCATCTGCAAATTTAATAAGCATTCCCTCTATTCCTTCATCCAAAACATTTATAAAGATGTTGAACAAAAATGAACCTTTTACCAGCCCTGTAAACAGATTAACTTCCCTCATATCGAACAGTAAGGGACCCTGGTTTGAGCATAGCAGAGATTTAGACTAGGGGTGCCCCAGTCCAGTACTCAGTCTCCCCAGCATTGTTCTGTTCAATTCTGTACCGCACAGATTTAGGATCTCGGTCTTCCCTTTCCATCTAGTCACCCAGAAGGACCATAGGAAAGCAAAACCAACTCATGCAAGGATGTCTCCGCTCCAGTAGTGCCAGCCACACCGATTCTTCTCCTCCCCCCTGCCCCCACTGGAGCACTAAGCAAAGATCCACGCGGGAACCACCAGAGACAGTTTTGTCAGGGCAACCAAACCAGCAGACCGGACACAAACCTGCTTCGTGAAGCCTTAAAACGGCAAGCTGCTTCCCCGGGAGGAAGTGAAACTTACTCTCACATGCTTGAATGTGTAAGATCCAAGCGAAGCGACCCGTTAGGCTTTTCCCAAAGACGTTCCTGTATAAACCTCTTCCCTCTCCCGGCAACGTTAATGTCCTTTGGGACCTACCTGAACTGAAAGCCGCCAGTGAAAGGAGGAGCAGCGGCGACACCACGGCAAGGTACTGCTTCGGCACCATCTCTGCCAGCCTCTGGGGAATCCCACGGTCGCAGTCATATGACTCCAGCTTCGAGTCAGCTGCTTTTGAACGAGGGAAGTGGCGAGCCGGGGCTAGGGAAGGAAGGAAGGGGCAGGCGTTCGCTGCCCAGCGGCGCCCTCTTTCCGCCAACTCCCGGGAAGTGCAGCCGGAGCATTCCCGCGGCTGCTTCCCCAGGGCCTGACACGGGATCGCTTTACACGGGAGGCAGCGTTTCGCATTGCGAGCTGGTGGGGTGAAATAAAGCAGGATTCCAGCATTTACAGACTAACAGCCTTTATTCTAGCATACGCTTTTCTTCAGGCGCATATACTGTAAGGCAAATTATAGACGGGGGTGGGGGGAGTCGGGGGCAGAGAGAGGCTGGATGTGAACCTGTCGTGCGTCTCCCAGGTGTGATTCTGAGCAGAAGAGACTTGTACTATGGCGGGGTGCCAGCACAGCTGTCCAAAAGCCGGCTGCTGATTTATTTCAAGCTTCAGGTGTCGAGTTGGCAGAGTTGGGGGGGGGGGGGGGAGATTTCCACTGTGCTCAGAACGGTACTTTTTGTTCTTGCTCACACGCGCCGTGCTGTTAATGTTGGCCGGATGCCTGCATGGCTGGATGGATGAAGCTGATGTTTCTAAAGGGGCTTTTCAGCTCGGATCCCCAATATAAATTAACTTGGGGTTGCAGAATAAAGGGAGGGAGGAGAGGGCTGGACCGCTTCAGACTGCAGTGGGGAAATCACTCTTTTAGTGTGAAAACTCCTTGCACATAAAGATTAGCACGGTGGGTTGCCCCCTATCCCTTCATATGCCATGCCCACTTACATGGAATAATTACTGCAGGGGAATTCTGAAAAATGTAGTCCTGCACCAGAAGTTTGAAGTGGTACCTCAGTGTACCTAGACCAGGCCTTAGAATGAAGTGACCTCACCAGCCAGTCCTGCCCCCGCCCTCCATTCCCATGCCACTTGGTCACTGTGATTCTCGCATTTCACTGTGGCTACTCTATCTCTGTCTTGTGGGTGTGTGGAGGGGGAAGCAGCAGTGAGAGGGATAGAAGAAGAGAGTCCTTGCGTTTGTTTTGCATTTGGTTCAGAGGTCTGTGGGATGGCAAACTGGTAATGGAGGATGCATTGTTTATTCTGGCTGAAATGTGTGTGTGTGTGTATTGGTGCCCCACAAGGAAAAAGATGCATAATGGGTGCCCCACAAGAAAAAAAAAATGCCCCACAAACCAAAAAATCCTGGCTACAGCCCTGCCTGGAAACCCAGGATTGCTATGCAGAGGCAGGCGGGCAATGGCAAACGACCTCTGAATGTCTCTTGCCTTGAAAGCCACAAGGGGTCGGCTAGGACCTGATTTTTTTTTTGGGGGGGGGCAGGTTGTCAGCCTAAGAACAACGCAAGAACATAAAAGAAGCCAATGTTGGATCAGGCGGTCCAGTAGTCCATCTAGTCCAAGGCTCTGTCATACAGTGGCCAAAAATACCAAGTGCCATCAGAAGGTCCAGCAGTGGAGCCAGGACACTAGAAGCCCTCCCACTGTTGCCCCCCCAGCACCAAGAATACAGTGCATCACTTGCCCCAGCCTGAGAGTTCCTATCTATACCTTGTGGCTAATAGCCACTGATGGACCTCTGCACCATATGTTTATCCAATTCCCTCTTGAAGTTGTCCATGCTTGTAGCTGCCGCCACCTCCTGAGGCAGTGAATTCAAGAGAGCCTAAACATACTAGCAACAATTAACGGAAGAGCCTAAACATACTAGCAACAATTAACGTTATTGTTGAACCAACCATTGCTTTATTATTCCGTCTTGTGTTTGGCACACCGCAGCAATTCGCCGTCGTCGCCAACAGAGGGCGCCAGCGGCGAAGTCCTATTCCCCCCCCCGGAGCGAGCGCTCTTTCATTTACTTTGTCCCGTGCAGCACGCCGTAGCCATTCATGCTTTCCAACATGGCGGCGGCCTCTGCGAGCGGTCAGGCCTCGGTGCGCGTACGGCTGCTTTTTGACTATCCGCCCCCGGGAAGCCCGACTTGCGGGCTCTGCTGGCTGCTGCTGGAGCCGAATCAAGTGCGCTTTGTTACCGACTTGTGCAGCCTCATTCGGGATAAGTTCGGCTTCAGCCGCCGCTCCAAACTCAGCCTTTTCCTCGACGGGGCTCTCTTACCGCCCACTGAAAGCGCACGGCTGGTGCGGGATAACGACTCTCTCAGGTGGGGCGCGTGAGGGAAAGGGGCGGGACAGCCATGCCCAGAGGGGAAAAGACAGGGAGTTGTGGGGGGAGGAGCGGGGTAAGGTTAACGGGAGGGGGGGACACCTGGTTAGCACCCGTTCTCTTTGTAATACCATGAACATTTGTATAACGCTTTAAGCGATCGGATTCTAGAATTGTGAATGATTTAGGTTTTTTAAAAAGCAAAATAGCGTGACACATTCTCCACGCATGTTAGATGGCCTTGATATTTATCATATATAGACTGTCCCCCCCCCACCCCCTCAAGGTGGATTAAGTATTGCGTGACTAGTGTTTGGAGTTTGCTGTGGATTAACGTGGCTACTTTTTTCAAGCGTTCAAGTTGTCCCAGTGATCCTTATAAATTAAAAAAATACCTGTATGGGGGAGGCCTGTATCACTTTCCCTCCGGTAAATAGAAAGGGAGAACATGGTTGAGGGGCGGTGACTTGACAAGGTAAGATTGTCAGAATAGGAGTGGGAAGGAGGCTTGGTCCACACTTGTGCCTTTTGTTAGGGTGAATGGACATTTGTGTAGTTCTCTTAAAGTTATAAATGTTTTACATATTTATTGGCACATACCTGCAAGGGCAGGCTGCTCTTTCCTCCTCTTGTATTGGTGGAGTGGCTGCAGTTGAAAGGTGGGTTGGCCTTAATGCTGGGTTTGAGGCTGAGATGATAGTTATACCAGTAAGCTCTTAGATCACAGTTCATTCTCTTCACCATTATGCCATAGCATGTCTTTAGAAACCAAAGTGAGCTGGACACTTTCTTATGATAAGCTGGTGCTGCTTCCTGAATGTTTGAACCATAGAGGGGGGCTGGGTCCAGACATCATTGCATACTGTTCTTATTGCACTAATCTGTAATTTAGAATTAGGTTTTAGCATGACAAAGTTCTGTTGGAAAAGTGATTTGTTGACTTCTTAAGAAATATCTTATATATCTAAGTTTTCTGAAAATTGTTCTAGTGTAACCAGCCAGGACATTTCTGGCTCATGCTTCCTGTATTGTTATAAAAAAATTGCAGCCTGTTTGTATGTAGAGTTGGGTTTTTTTAAACTCAGTGAAACCAATGGACTTGTGTGTGCCTAACTCTGCACATGATTTGGATGTTCCTTGGCAGTAAGCACCAATATACTTGGTGCAACAGATTCCAAGTAGTTATACATAGCATTGGGATGTGTTGTGTGCATATTTATTTGGGCGTAAGCAACACTGAATGTATTTGCACATACACATGCATAAAATTGGATTGCTAGCTGTCCACAGTGCACTAACTATTAGTTCTTGTATATAAATATTGATTTCTAAAAAACCCTGCCTTCCCCTGGAATGTCTCTTGCTGATACCCTGCTGTGTTGATTTCCTATTGAAGCCATATGACCTCAATAGCCCTGCCATATAACCCTACATTCTTCACACTTCCATGCTGGCATAGACCAGATGGCCTAGCAAACAGGCAAGGACACACGTACGCTATGGGGTTTTGGGGGCCATGTGACTGCAGGTGTGGCCTCCAGAGTCCTAGCCATTCATAAGTTGTCCCCATGACAACCAAAAAGTTGACCACATCCCCTGTCTACTTGTGATTGGCTGATGGCCACAGCTGATTATGATTAGATTGGGCTATAGCTGTCTAACCCCTTGGGGGAGAGCTCAGATTTTTCTTGTTCTCTCTACTTGTTTGAATTGCATCTGGGAATGCTGTCCCAGGTAGAACAAAGGACTGCTTTGTGAACTGAACATGTGCTTGCAAAGATGGAATTCTTGTTTCTCAAGATACCTGGACTCTTCCATTGGGCAATATTGAACTCTTGGATGCTACCCTGAAGTTGGTAAATATGCTTCTTACTGTTTAGTTAAGGCAAAACATTGCCTAGCCTTTGTTATTTTCAAATCCTTCTAGTCTGTGCTAGGTAATCAATAGGATTTGCATACGTCTTTGTAGAATCGATTAAAGGTTCAAGTGAACGGATGTATTAGTTCTCAGAATGATACATATAAGGATACCCTAATTGTTTTTTGTGTGTTTTCTTGACAGAGTTAAATTGGAAGAGGTTATTGGAGAAGACAGTTACAATGCAGCTACCAATGGTTTCACAATCCCTTCAAAAAAAGAGAGGAAGCGGCAGAGGCAAAAGTTGGAGGCTGAGGATTCTAACAGTGAAGATGAACAGCACAGAACAAGAAAGAAGAGTAAGAGGAACCTTGAGAAATTTTCTAGCCAGGAAGAAAACAGTGCAAATAATCAGGGTTCTAAAAAACATAAGAAAAAGAGAAAAAAGGTGACAGAAGGAGATTGTGTTGTGGACAGTAAAAGTGATGGCAGTACTTCTCATTCCAGAAAGCTTAAAAATCGAGTCAACCAGGAGAAAAAGCAAGAGGCAGAGAACAAACACAAGAAGCAAAAAGCAAGGACACCTGAAGCAAAGAACACTTCACAGAAGACACTTTCAGTGACGAAAATTGCAGTTGCAAAGCCCAACACAAAGAAAGATGAAACCTCAAGTGAATCACTTACTTCGTCTGACAGCGACAATAGTGTTGCATGCACCAAACAAATGCTATCACATAAAACTAAGGTGACAGCACAGCACACACAGAAACCACAGTGTGAGGATTCTCCTGTGAAACCCATTTCTGCCTGTAAACTTGCTGCTAAGCCTAAAGATGGAGATTTCCCTAAGCCAGCAAAAAGTAAGGAGGCTGAGGGTCAGTCCTCTAGTTCTGATTCCAGTTCAGTGGAAGAGGAAGAGCAGCAGAGCAGTAACCTGAAATGTAAAATACCCAATAACAGACAAGGAACTTTATCTGGCCCGACTTCAAAGACCAAACCAGAAACTTCCTCTTCAGAGTCTGATAGTTCCGAATCTGAGACTTGCACTGATAAACGCACCACGACAAATACAGTACTGAGTCAGCCCTTGAGAGGAAATAGTGGCAATAGTGGCAAAAAACTGTCCGCTACTACTTGTGGACTCACTACAAGCCCTAGTGATGCTGGAAGGGGACGCGGGAGAGGTGAAATCACCTTTTGGAGAGGACCTAGGGTTCGTGGCTGTCGTGGGATGGCCAGGGGAAGAGGGAGGGGAGAAAGTCCTTTTTTCTTTAATTACAATGATGAATACCAGAAACAGAAGCAGTTAAATGAAGCAGCAGCCAACACTTCAGTTATTATCCAGGTGAGCACTGCTTGCTTTCACTGATATCTAATATATTTGGACGAACCATTATTAAATAAGCATAGATCACAAAATTAAAAGCAAACACGGTGTATGGTGCAAGTGACCACAAATATAACAGTATCCTCCATTAGATACTCTGCTTACCCCTCCCCCAGTTGCCTTGCTGGATCAGACCATAGTCCACATAGTGGGGCATTCTGTTTCCGACAGTAGCCATATAGATGCCTCTGGATGCTGGCAAGGAGACCCTGATGGCGACTTCCACCCCATCATTTGCCCTACCCTCTGGAAATCAGAGTTATAGTGCTTCTGCATGTGGAAAGTCCCTCACTGTAATGACATTTTTTAAAATCTACCATCCCTTTCATTAATGCTTTTAATTGGGAGTAATCTCTAATGATGTCTTTAATAATTGTTTAATAGAACCCACCGGAAGTTCCAAAGAAGGACTATAGTACACTACCTCTGTTAGCTGCTCCCCCGCAAGTAGGAGAGAAAATAGCCTTTAAGGTATGAAATCTTGAATTGGTGTTTGTAGCATGTGCCAGCTGTTGATTGAAGCAGGGCGTAGAACACTGTTGCCTGGAATTAACCTACATAGGTGCATTGTGTTAGCATGTTTTGTTGAGTGAGGTATACATTCACATACAAACGACTTGGATTATTAGCTTAGTTCTGCATGCTGTTGCCAAACCTGCCAGTGAATGTGCTGGTTATAAGCAGGGGAACTGAGATTCAAAGATGGCATGCTTGTTGTTGTAGTCCACACTGAGTCTCTATAAGAAAGGCAGGCTAGAAGGAAACAGAACAGATTACTTCTCGTTAAGCTTGCTGAAGAAAAACGAGATTTGTATTTATCATTGGAAAGCTTGCGTATTGTATTTCAGGGGTGTCAAACTTATTTGTATAAGGGGCGGATCTTACATAAATGGGACTTTATCGGGCAGGGCCATGTTTGTCATAAAATGTAATAACAGGTAGTGGAGATAAGGGAGACAGACAAACACAATTTATTTATTTTTATTTATTTTTCATATTTATAGCCTGCCCTTCCCACAAATGAGCTCAGGGTGGGTAAGAGCATATCGGCAATACAATAAATATAATTAAAATTAAAGATACAGCACAGCACTGGGCTGATGCCCCTATACTGCCTGAAGTGGGGAGCAAATCCTTTCCCCAGCCTTCTGTTATGGTCAATACTCTGAGCCTAGGACCCAGGGGGAAACATAAAATGGCTGGGCATTGCAGCCCCCCCCCCCCTACTCAGAGCGGTAGTGGCTCGCCAGGGCCTCAGGCTGAAGTCTTTCTCATAATAAGCCACAGGCTGGTCCTTTTAACTGGAGGTGCCACCTGGCTCCTTAGCTCAATGAACACAAGGTAAAAGCCTCCATCGGGAAGCACAGCATTTGCAACCAAGCCCCCTCCCCCTCAGCCAGCAAACTTCAGCGAATAAACAACTCTAGCAGACCCACCTGGCTTCTTAGCTCAATGAACGCAAGAGAAAAGCCTCCACCAGAACATTTGCAACCAAACCCGCTCCCCCTCAGCCAGCAAACTTCCTCAAATAAACACCTCTAGCAGACCCACGTGGGCACAGGAGATGCTAGTGAAGATGAGGACAGTTCGGCAGCCCCACCCTCTGCACTCAGGCAGCTTAGAAGGGTGAGGACAGGCAGAGGGGGGAGAGAAGAAAGCTGCGGACCCGATTAAGGCCCTGGGTGGGCCGGTTCCAGCCTGTGGGCTGTATGTTTGACACCCCTGGTATATATCATTGGAAAACTTGTATAAAGTCCGAAAAGACTGCACAGCTTCTCAGGCAAATTATTTAACTTGAAATGAAAACCTTTCAATTCCTTAAGCTGCTGAAAAGAAACTAATTATACTTCTAAAATGAAAAACAGCCACCAGTGTTGAAGATCTCACCATTATTTCCCCCAAGGGTGCTGATTTGGTCACAAACAGAACAAGTGATTCTTGTGTACGTGTTATTGCCAGCTGTCTTGTGAGAGAAGTTATTGGCTTGACAGATGAGTACACTGTATGTGTCAGAACCGACCAACTTCCCCTAAATGAAAGGCAACAGTGGTCAGGGTTCAAGTAACATTTTATGCCTGGTCAAATAATTGATTCACTCAGTTCAGTAGAGTCTCATCTGATCATCTGCAGGTCTTCCAGGTTTCAGGCAGAAGTTTTCACCAGTCTTGCATCCCGCAGTGATGTAACTCAAGATGCCAGGCATTGAACCTGGGATCTCATATGCAGTGTCCCTTCCCTGCCCACATTTGATGGGACTTGTCTCCACCCCAACCCTAGCAGAATTTGGGTGACAGAGAGGTTTTTCCCCCATGATTGATATTATAGAAGTCTTCATTTATTCTATTTCAGTTGTGTATCCTTAGGTCCACGGATCCATCTATGCTCTTAACCAGCCATTTTAAGAGGTTGGGATTTAAATCAGTTTACTAGCAAAGACAAATGGATCATGCTAAGTCCCAGGAACTGGCTCCACACCTGGTTACTGTTCCCAGGAAACAATGTTTTGATGGAGCAGAGTGGAGACAGGAGCTTAGTGGGATAATGTAATTTTCAAAGACCACAAGCATGACTGATATTGTTAGACTTTATTTTCTTTTAACAGCTTTTGGAACTAACTGAAAATTACACTCCTGAAGTATCTGATTACAAGGTATGGCTATTCACTTTTTAAAGATCTTATTTTGGTATTTTCTTATGTATCTTTTTAATATTAAAATAATGATATATGAGCCAAGAGCGTCCTTGTTCAAATTTCAGTTGAGCCATGAATGCAGTGGACAAGATATTATTGGTCTCCCACACACCCTCAAAATCTATATGCAGGTAATAAAGCTGGTTTACCTTTCAGGCTTATTGAGGTGACATATGCAATGAGCTTTGTGTACTTGGGGAAAGGCCTTATATTTAAAAGGTCTGGTTCAGTCCTGTCCTCAGAACAACTTGGCAATAAGGTAAGACTGAGGATCTCTGTCCGATCTCAGTCAAGTGCAGATTGAAGTTGAGCAGCTGATGACGCATCTTGGGGAACATCTATGCAGCCTAACCTTCTGGCCTTCAGGATGCAATATTCTAGGCAGGGCTAACTTCAGGGTCTGTTACACTGATAAGTTTTCTGAGCTGGTCTGCAGTGACTCTCACCCAGCATTTGCCTATCCTCAACAGCAATATGTTGTTAGTCATCCCCTTTAGCATGCTTAAGTTACTGAGTAAGCATTTTAGTTTGCACCAATACTGTTAGCTACCAGTATTGCTAAACAAGTATCTTATCTATGCTCTTCTTGATCTCAGCAAGCAAAACACCCAGTTTGATTTCTAGTAAGCTTCACATGTTGACCAGGTACCTTAATGTTGAAGACAAGAGAGCTTTCATAATTTAGTTGCTGAGTGAAAAATATTTAAGTTTTGGATGAAATGTGAGTGTGTTTGGGGCATGGATATACAGCTGGCATATTTTCAATGCTAGGAAAAATAACTTGCATTTCCCTTTCTCTCTTTGAAAAATATACTGGTAGTTTTTTCTCTTGGTTTGCTGCACCTTTTTCTTAGCTAATGGACGAGTAAGACAAAAAAATAAAATGGATTTTGATTCCAGTTGTTTGTGCTAACAACTCTCTGTCTTTGTTCTACACTGTTTCAATATAAAGGCATCACAACAAATTCTTGGGCAACATCTACATAGTTATATGCTCCTGGGCTGGGAATTCCTAAAGGAAAGCTTCCTCAGCTGACATTAGAGCATGAGTCAGTATAAACAGGTGGAGGCAGTCCACCAGGTACTCTGGACGCATACCCACCCCACACATACCATTAAGAGTTTTAAAGGTATCCCCCAGCATTTTTGGGGTACCCATTTATTTGGCCCTGGCAGCCAAGGTAATTTTCACAAGATGTGCTTAATGTGTTCATTGTGAGAGAGGGGGAACAGCTCCATAGTGTTGTGACCGAATACCTATTACTGGATCTCTTTCATCCAATCCACAGCACCTCTGTTTTGTTAGGATTAAATTTCAGTTTGTTTACCTTCAATCAGTCCCTTACACCCTGTTCAGACACTGACTGATCTTGTCCACAGTTCCCCTGGATTTTGATGGAAGTGAGAGATAGACCTGGGTGTCCATCAAAACAAACAGAATATTCAGAATTTCTCTAGATAACACAATACCTAAGGACCAAACTTAGGGCTGCCAGGTCCATTGGAAATGCCAGCAGGGGGATTGGGGGGACATTCTGGGAGCTAGAAGCATCACACACAACATACCTACATCACCCAGAAGTCAGGGGTGACGCTCTGGATTTTGGGCAAAACTATGGTAAAATCAGCCTCCTCCCATTATTACTACAGAGTCTCTACTTTTGTAAACATTAGTAGTATGGGCCATTGAAGCTACAAGTGCAGTATCGCAGGTGTTCCTGTCGGGGAGATCAGACAAGTCTCAACTTAGGTCAACTATGCATTGGTAGCTGCCCAGTTACAAGAGCTAGATGGTCTTTTGTCCATTCAAAATGGGGGAGAATCCTTTGATTGGTTTATTCATCTAAGAGAAAAATAAAAAGGCGTTGAAGCAATGTGTCCTGTAAAAGATTTTATTTTAAAAATTAAACAATTAAAAATGGCAAGATTAAGGAACAAGATTAAGTCAGAACAATCTCTTTTGCATTGTTTCAAGCTTTCTGTTTCACCTAAAAAGCAGTACCTTTTTCTAAGCAAGAGATGTTTTGGCTTCTGAATTGGTAGAACAATTTCGAACAGCAAGGTCACTTCTCATAAAAGAGCATCCTGACCCTACACATTACACAAATATCTGTTCAAAAATGTAGACTGGTAGTTCAAGTTGAAGGAGGCTTGTCAGAGGTCAATCTGAAAAACTTTTTGAGACCTAGAAAGGCTAAGAGAGCATAACTATCACAGCACTGTTTTATTTTTTCCTCTCAATGCACTTTGGGGCACCGTTGGTTTGGTGCTTAAGCCTGTTTCTTTGTTTTAGATGGCCTCTACTGTTGAGAAAACCTGGTCCTCTTTTCTATGAAGTAACTTTGGCTTGTGTTCCTTGTTCAGGCCATGGAGTGATGAAACGTTTGGAACTCACTTTGACATGTTTATTTAATGTATGATATATTGATTATCAACCCCAGCATTTTGTTCTCATATATAAATGTGTCCATCCTGGGTAGACCAAATGTGTAACGTGTTTGCTGTTAAACAATCTGTGTTTGCTCTTGAACAATACTGCTTTTTTATCCTTTTCTCTGACTCTTCTTCTTTTTTTTAAAGGAAGCTAAAATAATCAGTTGGAACCCCACGAACAAACAGCTAGAGCTTGAAATGCTTTCTTTTTCAGTGGGTAAGTCTTATATAGCTGCAGCGTTGAACATGAGTGTTTGTTGTTCTTGTGAGCATCAGCATGCTATCCCCTTCAAAGTCCTTTCTATTTTTCACTAATTCTTACATTATTTTGGTTTTAACAGCAAACTAATGATAGAGATTTTATTCCTGCCAACTCTCAGTAACGTGAACACTTGTCATCCGGTTAAAGAAATCTTAATCTGTTAACCGTTTGAGTTTGTTTTGACAGTTTTCCTGGAGCCAGACACCATCCCACAGGATATTCTGCCCCAATTTCCGGCCTATCAGATTACACTAGGAATTTTTTTCAATTACAATTGAATTTTTTTAAAGGCATGCGGTGATAAGAGTCTGGGCCTCCCCACAGGATTTTCTGCCCCAATTTCCTGCCTATCAAATTACACTAGGATTTTTTTTTTTTTAATTACAATTGAATTTTTTAAAAGGCATGCGGTGATAAGAGTCTGGGCCTAATTATAAAACCAGCTGAGCCTGGATTGGTAACAGAGGATAGTAAAGTAAACTTTAAAGAAAAAGGTTATTTAGTTTTTTGTAAGCAAACAAGAACAAAATTGATTCAGAAAGAAAGCACGCAACTGAGGTAACCATTAATGATCTACCCGGAAATGTAGGATGTCAAGGAAAACCTTATCTCAGGCAAGTATAAAGACTGCAACTTAGGTAGTTACACCCTAGACCAAACAAACCTGCTGGAATACTGTCATGCCTTTGTACACTCAGTTACCCAGATAGGGGAACTTATATCTGATGCCTCTACATATCTTTAATTCATACTTCTGTCAAACTAGCCCTTCAACAACCATTCTCTCTCTCCCTTCCCACAGACAAACTGTAACTGACTAGACCTTCAGCTCTCCTATCTTAACTGTTTCCCAGCACCTAGCTATAGGCTGATTCAAAGAACTGCTCTCATTGGATCCTGTGTTGCTGGCATTCGTTTCTGTACTCTGCCTGTCATGTTTCTCCATTAAAGGAATTCTTGTTTTCAGACCTAACATTTTTATTCAAATGTAGATATAGCATTTGTTTTTTTCCTGATTTTTTTTGATGATGCATGTGGGTTGAAGTAGGTAGCATCTTACATATTATCTCCCCTGCATAAGAAATAAGTGGAAATGCTTACCATATTCAGTACTTAAATATTTAATTAAAAGGTTGTCAAGGAGTCTAAAGCTGAACTCCATGGCTCCCCAGCACTGTTGTATATAAGTAACCAAACCTTTTTGGCCAGCTGGGTGACCTTGGGTCAGACACAGTTCTCTCAGAGCACTCTCAGCCCCACCGACCTCACAAGGTATCTGTTGTGGGGAGAGGAAGGGAAAGGAGATTATAAGCTACTCTAAGACTCCAAGTGAAGGGCAGGGTATAAATCCAATCTCCTCTTCTTCTTCATTTTTCTTTATTTTATTAACATATTATGAAGTTTTATTTAATTTCTGTCAAAACAAAGATTTATTCTGCAGGCAATACAATGCTCTAAAGTCATATAGCAGAAAAACAAAACTAGCTTAACTATCTAACAAATCTTCAAGACTTGCATTAGATGGCATAAACCTTAAGTCCAAAAGTCAGAGGCCACAGCTGATGCATTCTTTATGTTGCTATCTATTGCAATATAAGCATATCATAGTTCAGGCCTTTAGACCATCAGAATCCAAGCTAGCCTTCTTTTTCTGGTTCTTAGCTCAATTATAGATTTTTGGGGGGCCAAGCAGCATCAGGTGATGATGACACCCAATCAGCACACAGTCTTGCTGGAACTCTCTAGAAAATTACCTCATCACTCCTGACATCCTCCCACCTATTCTGTGGGCTGCAGGTTCTCATAAGAAGCTAATTACCACTTTCCCAGCTCTGGCCTTGAAGATGATAAGGGCTATGCAGGCTGAGAGATCAATTAGTAACACATGCAGGATAGAACAAACCTGTTACCATTCATATTAACCGTTGAGGTGGGGAGCTAGGGGTACTTTGCCTCACAAAGGTTATTTTTTTTAATAATCTTTTTATTGGTTTTACTATAGTAAACAAAGGTAAATCATATCATTTTATACAACAAAACGTTTCACTAAAGAGAGATCAACATACATTTCAGCACATATTTCTGACAACTATAAAGAAAATTATGTCCACCCCAGATATAAAGTTCATCAGGATTTCATTTCTATTGCTTGGTGTTTCTACAAGTATAATCAGTTAGTATTTTATCGCACAACCTTAAAAATCCATCTTAACACATATATCTTACACATAACATAACACCAACAACAATCA